TTGCATAGTTAGGGGCCATCTTTGTGCCCATTGCAGTTCCCCGAGTCTGTAGAAAGTGTCTTCCCTCGAATTCAAAGTTGTTATTTTCTAAAACTAACCTGAGAAGTGTTGCGAGGACGTCGTTGTTGACACGAATAGTTGGAGGGTCATTGCTATACGCCTTAATTGCTGCTTCAATGCCATCCTGGTGAGGCATGTTTGTATATAGGGACGCAACATCCATGGTGACCAGGATTGCGTCAGTAGCTAGGAATTACAAGTTATGTTAGTTCTCGAAGAAAGTAATTTGTGTCTTTTGTGTATGATGGCATCGTAGGAGGAAGGTTCATAATAGGGAAATTGACAAAGCTAGAAATTCTCTCAGTCACCGTGTCTATTCCGGATACAACTGGTCGTCCTGGATTTCCTTGTTTGTGAATTTTAGGTAATGTGTAAAAGCGGCCAGCCTTTGGATAGGCCGGCTTCATTGCTTTATGCATATCCTCCGAAATGTCTCCATTATCCAGCATTAAGTCCAAAGTGTCCGTTATTAGTTTAGTGAATTTTTTGGTAGGATCTGCTTGAAGTTCTTTGTAAAACTGTTGGTTCATTAGCTGTCGAAATCCTTCATCTAGATAGTCTTGCTTATTCATAAAAACTATGGCTCCTCCTTTGTCAGCAGGTTTAATAATAATATCATCTCTTGAGCTGAGTTCACGCATAGCGATGCGCTCAGCAGGAGTGAGATTGTGACGTAGACATTTTCGTTGTTGATAGCTTCGGATTACATCACGCTGTACCGATTCGATGTACAAATCAAGGTACTTGTCGAGTTGCCTTTTTTGGAGTCCATGACTTATCCGAAGTATTAGGAATGCGCTCTCTGGCGTCTTGCGGATGATCGTGGAAATACTCTCTGAGTCTCAGGTTTCTTGCGAAGTTATCGAGGTCCTTATATATTTGGAATTCATTGTATTCTCCTGACGTGGGGCAGAAGCTGAGGCCTCTGGAACACAATGAGAGTTCTGTGGCGGATAGAACAACACTGGACAAGTTTATAATATTCAGCGATTGGATGCTCATTTCTCCGGTAGATGAGCACTCAGTAGGTGCAACTTGTGTGCATCGTTGTGGTTGGTTCGAGGTAGTGAATTGTGGACGGGGTTGAATATTAGTATGGTCATCTGAGATATGGATCATGTCCGTACGGCGAGTGACGGTGTTAGAGGGAGCAGCCGATAATCCTACCAAAGAGACGATGTTTGGCATTTTTTACCCCAATAAACAAAAATACAAAAGTATTTTCCTGTGAACTAAAAAAATAGTCCAAATAACATACAAGAGCACAAAAAATTACTGTGAGTTTTGTATGCTTCCCGTATTCATACCAGCGTACAGAACTGGGTAGAAAAATCACGGAGTAAAAAACAGATTTTCATCCTGCTCCACTCAATAATTTTTTGTGAAGCGAAATATTTTTTTTTTTTAATTTTGGAAAGCGGTTTTGTTCTTTCTAGAAATGGGGAAATCACATATATTTTTTTCAAAAAAAATCAAAAGACCCACCCCGACAAGCGTGTTCGATTTCAAAATAAACAACAGGGTATTTTTTTCTTAAGTTAAAAAGAAACCATGAAAGCTAGGTTAATGCGGTCTGCGCAGGTGAGTTATACGGCCAGGGGGGCATAATATAGGAGTCTAATCGTAACTATCAGTCGGCTAATTAGTTAAAATTCGTTAATTAACTTTTTAATTAATGAAAATAGACATATAGTTCCAATTATAAACTTGCTCAGCGTTATCGAAAACCACTAAATCAGTAATTTTCAGAAAGACTTTGAACGCGTGAGAAGCGTAGTAGTGCACTAAAGTTACCGCTCGTGGAGCAGGTACAAGGCTGGGGCTAGATAAGAGGCAGAAAAATTGCGCGGGCGCCTTATCGCAACCCCTAGCTTTGTACCTGCTCCACAAGTGGTAACTTTAGTGCACTACTACGCTTCTCACGCGCTCAAAGTCTTTCTGAAAATGACTGATATAGGGGTTTTCGATGACGCCCAGCAAGTTTCTTATTGAAACTATATGTCTGTTTTCATTAATTAAAAAGTTCATTAACAAATTTTAACTAATTAGCCGACTGATCGTTACGATTAGACTCCTATATTATGTCCCCCTGGCGGTATAACTCACCTGCGCAGACCGCATTATTCTAGCTTTCATGGTTTTTGGAAAAAAAAATCTGTCAAGCTTAAAAAAAAACACACACACCCTGTATATACCGGGTGTTTTTGCGAAGACTTTCGAAAATCCTAAAAATTAGAGCGATTGAAAAAAGAAGAAACTCTCTTCGGGAACAAACTACCAGCCACGGCGGACGTCAGGAATTGCCAAAAACCTACTAATTAGCCAGATAATTAATTAAAACTTGTTAATTAACTTTTTAATTAGGGGAAATAGACATATGGTTCCAATTAGAAAGTTGCTGAGCGTTATCGAAAACCACTAAATCAGTCATTTTCAGAAAGACTTTGAGCGCGTGAGACGAGTAGTAGCGCACTAAAGTTACCACTCGTGGAGCAGGTACAAGGCTAGCGGTTGCGGTAAGGCGCCCGCGGGATTTTTCCGCCTCTCATCTAGCCCCAGCCTTGTACCTGCTCCACGAGTGGTAATTTTAGTGCGCTACTACTCTTCTCAAGCGCTTAAAGTCTTTCTGAAAATGACTGATTTAGTGGTTTTCGATAACGCTCAGCAACTTTCTAATTGGAATCATATGTCTATTTCCACTAATTAAAAAGTTAATTAACAAGTTTTAATTATCTGGCTAATTAGTGGGTTTTTGGCAATTCCTGACGTCCGCCGTGGCTGGTAGTTTGTTCCCGAATAGAGTTTCTTCTTTTTTTCAATCGCCCTAATTTTTAGGATTTTTGAAAGTCTTCGCAAAAACACCCGGTATATATGTGTGTGTGTGTGTGTGTGTGTGTGTGTGTGTGTGTGTGTGTGTGTGTGTGTGTGTGTGTGTGTGTGTGTGTGTGTGTGTGTGTGTGTGTGTGTGTGTGTGTGTGTGTGTGTGTGTGTGTGTGTGTGTGTGTGTGTGTGTGTGTGTAAAACCAATATCTTCTTTTTTAACGTAGAGCGGGATTTTGTTACGTATTTTAGGGTTTATTTTGTGGGATCCTCGCTTGGTAGCAATAAGATGCAGGTGAGCTGGTGGACATTGATTCTTTTTTTAAAGCCCAAAACTGCGGCACAAAAAAAAAACTTTTAGTCGAAGGAAAAGACAAAGAGGGATGTCTCAAACTCAACTACTTTCTTTGCTTCTCCTCTAATTCTGCGCGCAAAGATGGTCCTACACTCTCTCCACCTCAGCGCGATGGCCAAGCCGATCCACCTCTCCTCCACGCGCCCGACATGCCGAGAAAAATACAAGGGGAAAGGCGACTACCGACTAAATCGCGTCTCGCGCCGTCAATATTGTTCCAATTTTTTTTTTTTTTTCGCGTAAAATTAATTTTTTTGATACGCGTGTCCCAACTAAACTGGATACTGAACCGAAATTTGGATTTCGCAAAACAAGGCCGCAGAAACGTTGAACGGGAACACTTCTCAACCGATATCTCAAACGGATGGCCGTACTTCTCCGCTCCCTTATTTCGTCTGCAGCGTGTTGGCGTCGACGGCAGAGCCAGGTGGTGTTGGCAGAGCGCGCCCTCTCCTTGCCGCTCTGACCTTGGACGTTTCGTGTTATCGGCGCGCTGACGGACAAGCAGCGCCATGGGGTGGCAATCGTTGAAACTGACGCACGCAGTGGCCAATGGGATTAAGCTGAGCAGGGTCCCTAATCTGGACACTTGGCGGAAAAGTCGGCGAGAAATTCGGCGGCTATGATTGGCCAGCGCCAAGGTCAAGTGTGGCGTTGGCCAATCGCGGCCGCCAAATTTCTCGCCGTCGTTTCCGCCAAGCATCCAGCTTAGGGCCCCAGGTTGGTTCATTGCTTGTAAATGGGGCCAGCTGAACATGAAAAACACAGAGAAAATTCATTGCTTGTTAACGGGGCCAGCGGTGCGAATGCTATATTTTTTCTCCGTGTTTTTTTCATGTTCAGCTGGCCCCATTCACACGGCCAATGCGGCGAAATCCATCAGCTTTACTCCGCTCCTTCGGAATCGGGGAAACTAGGTGCCGTTTGGCTAGGCTTTTCGCGTGGTTTCATAGCTGGCAGCTAGCTGGCTTCACTTGGAGAAAGGATTGTTCTGCATTTGAGAAAAAAACACTTAAAATTGTGTTCATTTGGCCGTTAGAATAACAGATATCACAATTATATTTCAATGCGACGCGCCGGAGAGCTATAAGAGCAATTTCAAAATAGGGCTGAAGCCCCGCCTCCCTAGCCTTGGGCAGCCAAAAGACCCGTCGATGACGTCACGGACAGCGACTGTCTTTCGTGGTTTCGGTATTCGGATTCACAAGATAAAAATCCACTAGAATTTTTTTTTTTTTTTCCAAGAAGCTTCGTAGCTTCCCTTTAAGGTGCCGTTTTGCGCGGCTTCAAAGCTGATGACGTCGGCTCGCTCCATTGAGCAGTTAATGCTTTCCCATTAAAAAATAATCTAGACGTTACGAGATCTCAAAAGGTAGACCAGCTTACTGCCCTTTCGAAGCCCAAAACTCAAGGACAAAAACATTTGTACACATTTTCCACCAACATATTTTTCCAGACTTTTATGAGGACTCAGCGTTTTTTCTTGCACCGATTTGAGATGAATTCACCCACTCATTTTCAAACCAGTACAAACAAGACGCTGGTCGGCGGTTCATTCCGTTGCTGTCGTGTCAGCAAATTCTGCACGCGCGTTTTCTCGGCCGCCAAATTGGCGCGAGATTTCTTTTGGGACAGCGCTTTCTTTCTCCCTCTCCCCCCCCCCCCCCCCCCCCCCCCCCCCCCCCCCCCCCCCCCCCCATTTTCTCTACCCTAGTTCGAGACACGCGCGGTAGTGCCTACCGTTGCAAACTGAACGAAAAAAAAAAATACCTTTATTACTGACGCAGCAGCATGCTCGAGAATGTTTACGCTCGAAGTAGCAAGTTAACGCAGTGCCACATAGCCCGCATTCAGATACTTGAAAAAGTAGCTTCGATTATACTACTACCACGCAACTACAGCATTCTCTAGAACTCTACGCAACGAAAAGGTTATCAACCGCACGCCCTTCGCTCCGACGTCAAGCACTCCACACGGCACAGCGATGGCGTGCAAAGCTGCGCTGAGAATCATGCTGTGAAACGGCTCACATAAAAATTTCAGAGCATATGAATTCAAGAAGAAAAAGCAACATGCTTGGACGTACCTTCGCGATGGCAACCTAGGAGTACGCCTCTTTTAATCGCCAGATTGCCATCTGGGAGAACAGCAGTCGGACTCCTCGGCTTATCGCCAATAACTTCGAAAGATAAGCGACCAGGTCGGGAACGCTAATGCTGGCTTTGCGAGCAGTGCTCGTGCACATAATAAATTAAACACAGACCACAGGCACTACTATATGCAAGCGACAGCTGGGATACTTTTTTTTTTTATTTCCGTGGAGACATTGATTTTATCGCCTCTCCATCGCATCGCCGGATCTCTCCACCTGTATTACTGCGCCGCAGGTGCCGGAGGAACTACATTCCAAGGCGCGCGCACAGTGAAGAACTTTGGTTCCAAAATTTCGCGCGCGAAAAAAAGAAAAAACAAAGAAAAAGAATTAAAAAAAAATATTAATAATAAAAAAAAACAAAAACACTAAGAACATTGACTTATCTTTTCCTTTCTGTGCGCTTTGTAACAGGATTCTTTCCCTTTGAAGCTAAACTGCTAGCTCAGTGTTTCTTCCAGAAAATGTCTGCACGCAAGGAATTTGGGTTAAACCTGCGGCATTCACCCACCAAGCTGGCGGGTCGAACTAAATGTTACCCCCTCACACAACAATCCAAGGAAACCACACGTTCTCTGCGAATGTTCTAAACCCAACTCTTCACAGGAACAAACATAACATAAAATACGACTTAGATTATTTACAAAATACAATAACAAAAAAAAAAAAAAGATTTTGCAGCTTGGCAGATTTGTGCCACTTCCGAGATTTTAGCGGCCAAACCATTTTGCAAATTATGCAAAGACAATGTATCATAGTGCTCAAGTAAAAACCTGCACACACTACTAAGACAGCAGTGACATACCCGAAAGCAGAAAATCACAATGTTGATTATCCTTTGGACAAATAGTCTGCTATCACTCCTCAAAATAAAAACAAACAAACAAAAAAACCCAAACAGAACAGGAACGAGCACTGCACGTGCCGGAGCTCATCAAATGCAACTACGAGATCCATGTTACGCATCGTTCGAGCGACGGGGACTGCGCAAAGCCTCGTCACACTGGCAGCCATGATCAGATCAACAGCGTTTTCCCAGAAAAATAGAGCTCTCGTATATCACCCGAATCTCCCCACCCCAGGAGGTTGTTGCTCTTGACACCACATGCACCATGTTTGATCAGAACACAAATGCTGTACACATACTCCATCTTGCAAGTACAGCGGAGCCACGTTTCATAATCCGATCGCACTACTGCTCATAATGCTCATTTCATGCAAACCTCTTTTGGACCAGCTTGATTCAGAACTGCATACAGCTAATAGGTTGAACTGGCTCGATGCATTCTTCAACATATGCACCTTTCCACATGGGTCCACTGTATGCCGACTGCCTGGGTGACATAGAGGTGATGAATATGGACATCGGTGAGGATAGTGAATACTAATGCGGATGACTTGGCGTCATGGGCGTAACATAATGTCCCGCACATGTTAGCGATGTGGAATCAATGCTAAATTTGCCGGAACTTTCACCCGCTGCAAACAGCGATCGATCGAAAAGGATCAATAAATGAACAAAGAACAAGACGAATCGCGGGTCATGACGGCTACATAACGAAAAGGCGGTGGTGCACCAAACATGAGATCACCAGGTACAGAGCAAAAGTGATGAAAAACAAATTTCAAATAACATGGAAGTTGTCGACGAGCGTCTTCCGCAAGCTCCTCTCTCTGGCTTTCAGGTTGAATCTAGGTAGAGCAGAAGAGAAAGCAGTCGATTGCAAACAATGCTCTTCAATAAACCAAGACACGTTTTCATCCGAACAAAGCAGTTACTTCACTTTAAGCAGACAGAAAAAACTATGCAAAGAGGCAACAAAAAAAAAAAGGATGATGCTATTAGCAGGTTCTTGAATGTCCACACAAAGAAAATTGCAGTCCAGCTTATGAATGATTCGCAAAAGTGGCACGTTGAACGTCTCAATGCTGTAAACTGCCCCAAAACAAAAACATTGCAACAAAATGCCTATACTTGATTAAAGACAGTGCCCCCTTCCAGGAAAGGTGTCAAACAAAGTGCATGTTGTAACTCACCTCTCCCCCAGGGAAGAAGAATAAGGACTCAAAAAGACTTAGTGGCTAACACACAACAGTATGTACATCAAAGTTCCACACATGTCACAAATCACAAATAAATAAATTGGGGGTCCGAAATGCGTTATCGCCACTGTCCCCGAATCCTCGACGACGTTGCAACCAGACCGCCGCTGCAACGCGGCGTTGTCGCTTTGGGCGCCGCGGAGGCCAAGTTCCGACAGCAGCTGGGGATTCCCGACGTGTGGATGAGAGGTGAATGCTTGCAGCTCATGTGGGTCGACGCTGCGGGGCAATCAGAGGCCTTTGCGGCCCTTGATCTTGTCGATGATGTTGCATATCTTCAGGGCAGGCCCCAACTTCAGGCCCATGTACTTCATCATCATGTCGCTGTTCAGCAGAAGCAGTGCTCGGCCGTCAATCTCCTGCGCAGAGGGAGCAATCTGTTTGCAGGATGCCCGAGTCGTTCGGGCAACCCTGAAGTGACTTTCAGCTCTAGGGCTATAGATGAAATGACTGCTAAAAAGATGCAGTTTTGGAAATTGACCTGTTTGCCTCAAGGTCTTCCTTCTTGAAGGAGCACTTAACCACTTTCTGCGACAGTTTACTTCTGGACATAACCTAATCTATGGGCTCTAAGCATCCTAGAAAACTAAACATTACATTCATGTAGCAAATATTGTTTATGTCGGAACTATCGCAGACACCAGAGGGCACCATCAGACGAAGGAGGGCAGATGGCGCCCTCCGGTGTCTGCCAAAGACACCAGAGGCCAAAGAAAACAAAGACAGAGCCTCACGTGTCTCCTGAAGAGGTCCGAGTGAGACGCCAGGGCCGCGTCCAGGGATGAAATGTGCCGGATCACGTCCTCTATGCTCCACTCCAACGGATGGGCGCTCACCGGTGCCGGAGCTCGCGCTGGTGCCGCGGGTGGCGCTGCGGGTTTGTGCACCTTCTCCGGTGGATGGTGGTTGGTGGTTGAACTTGCTGCACGTTCAACAGGTAACTCTGTGTCTCATACTGCTTTTAAGCCTCCAGGTAAGCACTCAAGTTTGAGCCTGCCTAACCCTGCATCACGTAGACAGCTTTCTCGCTTTGGTTTGTTTCACTAAACCTACCATAACCCTCCCCTGTACAAAAAAGCTGCTAATCGCTTCTTTTCACGTATCATCGCGTCTCAATAGCCAACATGCAAGCTGGGCATGCTGTCATGCAAAACTACAACTTTTCACCGTTAATCATACACCCAACCATGCTTTCATGAAACCACCACACTTTATTAACAGGTAATTACTTGCATCCATAACATTTTTTATTGTTTTTAATGCGAAAGCATTAACTGTCTCATGACGCGAGCTGACGTCATCAGTTTGAAGCGTGAAAACGGCTCCTGGTTTCCACTCTCCCAATAGGAGAAATTCGCCTTCGGTTCCATTGGCCGGCGCACGTCGACGGGCTCCGACTGGCCGCTGCGCCATGGCTTCCGAGATCATGAAGCGTGAGGGCGCTAGTACGCAGCAGACGACAAAGGGAGCGGACCAGCCGGCAACAAAGGAAGCAGACAAGCGGCTTGCATGCTTTCGCATTCACAACTCAAAAGAAATGCTTAGGCGTACCTCGAGCTTTTCTTTGTTTACATACACCAGAACCCACTTTCCTTTAGTGCCCCGATAGCCCCGAAATCATTTAAAATAAACAAAAAATTGTGCAGCAACCTTTACAGTCAAGCTCGGTTATATCACACTGGGGTATTTCCAATTATTGTTTATAACAGTCCAAACATTCTTTTGAAAATCACATGTAATACTATAGGAGCGTTGTCTTTTTGTATCCAACTCCAATGGCAGGGACACTCGATATAGAAAACAAGAATGAAGTCCGCCCAGCCTCTGCTTTTCGTGCGATCGATTGCGCGATTGTGCCGGTGCACATCGCTTGTCCTGCTGGCTGGCAGACCGCCAAGTCAGCCCTAAAAAGAAAGTGGAGGATGGCAAAAGCAAGGGAAAGGGCACCGACGCACGTGTAGGAAGAGCAGGGAGTGCCTGCTGTCGGAACGGTATCCTGCGTCCCTTCCCAGAACACTGCTGATGCTCCATGACTCCTTAACCCCAAAATAAAACAAGCAATAAAAAAAGAAAAAAAGTCTTCCGCAAGTTGAGTGTGTCGACAACAGCGGTTGTGCAATCACACTTTGAACCCTTATCTTTGTTTAACTTTGTCTTTTGCGGTTAAGGCTTGTTCACACTAGAAAGTTTTAGCGAGTTGTATTTCAAACACACGGTTCCGAATTCACGAATGGTACAGCTGGTCCGTTCCGTGGAACCATATGTCAAATTTGACATACTTTAGCAAATCATGAAAGTGGCACGACCGTGTAAACGATGATGATGATCGTGTTTAACGGTGGCACAGTCTTCTAGTAAACGTGTGAAACATTCTGCAACGTGTAAATCCGTTGCGATGGTGGCGGACATCGTGGTGGCAGCTCGTGTTTCCGGTGTACGACTGATGTAAACAAGACTGCAACCGTAACATTTGCCGGTCGGAATTTCAAGAACTGCGAAGCTAGATAGAGTAAAAAGTATCTGAACGACCGTAGAGGTATCTGGTGTGATACCGTCATTTTGAACTTAAACGATCGTTCACGTTGTGTGCCTTCGAACCAGATCATTTCGTCTGCTCGCGGTGGCCACGGCAGCTAGTCTGCCCGCAGATCGCAAAAATTTACTAGCATGCGCAGCTTACAGCATTCACGATCGCTTACCATTGTGAGCAGTCCTCGATATGAATTGGTTCAATCTCTGAAATGAAGCAGACTAACAAGACGGCAAATTGCCTCCCACTGTCCTAAGCCTAACGCTCGGCTGGGTCGGCGAAGGCGGTCGGCGAACCGACCGCCATCCTTTTTTTACCGGAGTCGTGAACAGTGCTGGCTGCGTTCGGTGCCGACTCCAGCGGCAGGAATGGGAGAAACGAATGAGAAGAGCCTCCCAACCATAGAGTTATTATAATGTACGCTAGAGGTTCAACTGGCGCTAGTGTGCTGTTGCAAACTGAAGCAGACAGCAAGCAGTCCGAAATTGACTTCCGGTAATGCAATTCTACGGAAAAAAAGCGAGTGCATTTCCTCTCTGTGCTCGATTATAAGAGCAAATATCACGAATAAATCATACCTACTAGGCACATTGGAACATTTCCCAGACACGCAGATAAAATAATTGGTCAGTTACGGCGTTTTTATTTTAAAATCGTGGCATGAAAAACTGTGCTAAAACCGCTTCGTACATGTATTTATGTGCACTGTCGGACACTGTTAGCGCGAACACGGCGTCGGCGCTTTCCAGTATGGGGGATATACATGCCAAACGAACGAAGGACATGTGGAAAACGAAGAGAGACGGCAAGAACTACGCAGTAACACTGGATAAGTAACTCTGCTTGCAGACGATCACAACAAATTGAAAGTCACGTAATATAGTCCGATTTGCAATAAATCAGTACTGCTTTATGCTTCCTGCTCGTGAATATGTGCGAAGATGCTTGTTCTGTGTTCGAATCGATCATCACCCGCACGCTCCAAATCTTTGCAAATAGGGGGAAGCCAGAGAACAGGCGCGCGATAAAAACTGCCCAACATAGGAAATAATAAGAAAACACACCTTTCGTAGCCCAAATACTTTATTCTTTACGTTTCGAACGTTTTTTTAACCACTCGTAAAGATGCACGACGGGGTGATTTTCATATAGTGAGAGGGCAGACATATTAGCAATATATAGGCACCAACGGAATGCTAGAACTTTGAGCACACTCTAGATTTCTTTCGATTGTTATTTTGCTTAGAATCGTCGCTCGTTTTTACATACCTGCCATGGAACAGAGGTTTGGGCCTGAGATATAGCGAAGTTTAACATCGTTCAGTGGTAAAGAAAAAATGCTGTAACTAAAGCAATTACCCTTCTACAATATTAATAAAGGTACATACTATCCGGTACAACCGAAATGACAAAAGTTATTCATGTTATTTTTCGGCAAAGAGACAAAATTCACGCGCGTTTTCCCATAGGAATACACAGGGAGGCTGGAAATCTAGACTGCATGCTGTCTGCTTCAATTTGCAACCGGAAGTCCCATAGACACTAGCGCCAGCTGAGCCTCTAGCGTTTATTGTAATAACTCTATGCTCCCAACGCCCCGAACAACTCGCGCGCGGATGCGCAGTGGCGTCGCCGATGCTTTCGAGGGCAAAACATTCGTGTGGAAACGACCTGCTAAAACTCCTTACTCTAGCGACCGAATACGACCGAGAGAGATGAGACATGTTGAAACCTCTTAAAATTTCTTAGGACAAGGAACACACAGGCATTCTGGCGCCATCTATGCGGTGACCCTAGAACTGCATTTCGCAAGAGCGAAGGTTTTGCGGGATTTCCGAGGTCAAATGTACGTAATACCTATAAGAAAGGCTCGTTTATGGTTGACAAAAGTTTTTCGATCCAAGAAAGAAAGGATAATGCGCGAGAGAAACAGAAAATATGCGGGACCGCCAAGCTTACAGTGTTACCCAATAAATGGCGCCTTTGTGTCCTCTTGAAAGAGGTTTCAAGGCATCAGTTCTAAGAGGTCGCAAGAGTGTGAACGGCCTATAATGCTTTGCCCCCCTTTTTTTTTTTTTGCCTTTCTATTTTTTTTTTGCTTCCTGAATTTAGTGAGCTTCTTTCATTTTTGTTTACCTTTTTCTTTTGCCTTTATTGCTTTGCTGTTTTTACTTTGCATTTCTTTTTCTTTTTTTGCTGCCTGATTTTAGTGAGCTTTCTTTTTTGTAACTTTTTTCCATGGATCAAGAGATTTTTTTTTACCCATCTCACTTTTCCGTTTTCTTCATTATTTTTTTTGTGTTTTGTCGTTTCTGCTATGTGCAGGTTCCATCCAGGAGCACGTGTAAGCGAGGAGGTGTTAGCGATCTCCGCCAACTACCCTCTACTGTATTTAGTGGCTCTTGGATGCTCTCTTTGGTACGCTCCCGTTGGTCGCGACCTTCGGTAATAGCAGAAATGCCAGAAAATTTTAACTTGAGCTTGATTTAACATATTTTTATATATCGAATTATTGATATATCAAACAATTCTACGATCCCCTTCGAATTCTATATATCCGGGTTCGACTGTATCTCTGAACTCCTGTACGATGTGTATAATACAGCATTTTCGAAGCAATCATGTAATTTTGTTCGGAAGATATTAGTTATTGTTAGGGAGCGAAGATGAAATAATGCCACGCATGTTGCCGAGCGAGCGCGTGTGTGGCCGAGTGGTTACCATGCTTGGCTTTCGTGCGGAGGTCTCGGGTTCCAAACCTGGGAGCGGCACGTCTTTTATTTATCCCTTTCAATTTAGCGTTCTCATAAGTTTGAGAACCTTGTCGTCTGATCGAGGTACAAATGTTCCACACGCCAAACGTTTTATGCCAAATATTCCATAAACCCACGCAGGTACATAAGGGAGTCGGTCTCGTCCTAGCGTTCGACCCTGATGTTTCACCGCCATCGACGCCTGCGACGCTAGCCTTTTTCTTTTTTGTTGTGGGCACAAGTTTGCCCCATTAAATGTTTAGATTCTCCAGTTAATACCCCGCAGCTTGACCAAAATGTCACGAATGACAAATAATAAGGTGGTGAATTAACTGGAGAAACTAAACGTTTAATGGGGCGAACTTGTGCCCAATACAAAAAAAGAAAAAGGCTAGCGTCGCAGGCGTCGAAACAGCACGGTCGAACGCTAGGGCAAGACTAACTCCGGCTCGCCATGCGAGCCGGAGTCAGTCACTCCCTTATGTACCTGCGTGGGTTTCTGGAATAATCAGCATAGAACGTTTGGCGTGTGGAACATTTGTACCTCGATCAGACGACAAGGTTCTCAAACTTATGAGAACGCTAAATTGAAAGAATAAATAAAAAGACGCGCCGCTCCCAGGAGTGGAACCTGAGACCTCCGCATGGAAGCCAAGCCCGGTAACCACTAGTCCACGCACGCACTCGCTCGGTGACATGCGTGGCAATATTTCATCTTCAGTCCCTAACGATAATTAATATCTTCCGAACAAATTTACACGATTGCTTCCAATATGCTGCATTATACACATCGTACCAGCATGGGTTTCTGGAATATTCGGCGTAGAATATCTGGCACATAGAACATTCGTCCCTCAATCAGACGACACAGACAAACGGAAAAATTTCTGGGATTAGGAAGTTCCGTTTTAAAGGCATTCCACGCTTTAATCAATAAACAAAGGAAGAGCAACGAGCCCACTCACCCTCGCCGTCGGCTGAATTCCGGATGCAGGCCACCTTGGCAGGCTGTGGTCTGGCTGCCGCTTTCGGAGCAGAGGCCGGAATAGGCGTCGCTGCCGGACTGCGCGACGTCGGAGCCTGTCCACTTGCAGAGTCCGACGACCAGCGTCGCTTCACGGGGGCAGACAGGTTGTTGTTGTTGTTGTTGGTGGCGCTATTGCCGTCGTTGTTCGCGGAGACTCCGGTACTTCCGGTGTCTGTGTGCAGTTGCTCCATCACTGCAACATCAAGTTTAAGGGTGCGGTGTAAAGGTGCGTGTGTGACGCTCCGTCAAAGAGTGGATCGTTCTGGATTGCCTGCAAGACACTCAGAGAGGCGGTGCACGTCTACAACGGACCGATGTTGCCAAGCATTCCACACATGCATGACGTGGCCATAACTATTGGGACCTCGCAACACCCAAAGGGGGCATGCCGCTCTGCCTCGGAAGCCGGCTAGCACTGCCACCAACGACGGCATTTGCGTCGCGTCGCACAGTGAAGTCATACCCACTCGAATCCCTTCTAAGGCGTCCGCGGCGTCTCGATCACTAATGCGCCCTCCCGCCGGGCGTGTTTCACCATCTTGCTCCGGAGCAAAGGTTCAGCACCTCTAAATTGAAAAAAACCTACCCGCGTCCAGCATTTCTTCGTACATGTTTTCACACCATTCGACCTGCAGGCTCGGAGCTCGGGTTCAATTGTGTGCGCCGCAGTTGTAAGCAGCAACGACGGGAACACACTGCCGTATCTTTTGTTCAACTGCGCTGAAATATGCATCTGCAAAGCGTTTGTGTGCTCGATGATCCGGAAATCGTTATGAGACGACATTTATCCATGCCATTAATTGATAAAATCAATGTGAGAAGTATCTTTCATCTTTCGCTCCTTTTTTTTTTTTATAGGATTGCTTTTCGCTTGCTGGCGGATAGAGTAGACGTGCTGGGACTGAGATGATCGCGGCGGTTTTCGCCACCACATGAGGGGAATCTGTTCTCTCAATTTCCTGGTTTTGTGTAAAAGTTAGTACCGAAAATGGTCTCAAACGTTTTATATAGTGCCGTGCTCATGTAAGCTGACATACCTTAGAAACTAAGATTGGCTGCTACGCAGGACGTCTATGCCAGTTTGGTTGTGTTCAATTCGAAATGCTACGGCCAGGAGCCGCACCATGGTGCCACCGTATCGTCGCACGCTACCAATAGTCCACAGGAGGCAGGCGCCAGTTCGCGAGACAGCTGATGCTTTGCTCACACAGTCCTGCAGCGGGATTGTTACGCGTGCAGAAAAACTTGTGGTGGCCACCGCCACACTGACCGCGCCGGCAGAGGGCAAGGCGCCCGACGGCAGCGCCACGCGCCGGCAGGGCGCAGCTGGGGGGGAGGCACAGGGGCATTCGGGATCGAGACGGGCATTAAAGAAGACGTGAGAAATCCTTCCTTGTTGTTACGTGTTCTTCCGGGGTGGACCGCACGGACGAGAACCCGGGGGCTTCCAGGCTGTGGGCAGGGAAACCCACATTGGCGCCCAACGTGGGGCCTCGTTCGTGTGGCCGACTCCGGAAGGTAAGTGGAGTTTTTTCCACTGTTTGTCTCGGGTTCGCATGTGTTCGCGTTCACGCAGCGGAGGAGGCGATTTGAATTTTCGGCGCATAGGCCGGTGACAATTCCGTCCACACGGTGCGAGCAAGGGTACAGGCAGCTCATAACTGTTGGTTAAAGAAACAAACCAAACGTCGTTCTATTTTGGTCACGGTTATCGTTGAGCGGCGCCACGCCCCTGAATGGTGCTCGCGTTCCGCGTGAGCGTTTCGACCCGCGTTATCGATTTGTTGTTGAACTGATATTGTAATTTTGGAAGAGTGATTGCGCGGTTTACATACAACGCCGCTATCTGAGAACAGGCCTCCTTTCTGTTGAACGTTTGCTTCCTCCTTTTTTTTTTTTTTGACCTTTCATCGATTTTATGTGGAGCACCTGTGCCCACATAAAAGTGTCGCGCTTTAGGCAGAAAGAGACCTCCATAGCACCGATTGGAAGACTTTCAGGGTTGGGGGGAACTCACGATGAACGTAGTTAGGACACCACCGCGGCAGGTTTCCACGGAGGACCTTAGCAAAACTAAGGGCGACGACGAGGATGATATTCCCCTCGGCGAGCTCGCGAAGCGACTAAACCCCGAAAGCACTACCGAACATGACACACGGATTTTGCAACCAGCGACCACAGAATCGGCGGGCACGGTGCAACGGGACACTGTCGACGAGTTGAGATCGGCCATGACCCTCCTGCTTCAGTGTCAACGGGACCAGATGATGCAACTAAGCCGCCCCTCGGTAACAGTCACCCCGCCTCCTAAAGACCATCTGCGGCTCCCGCTTACTATTCCAAAGTATGCGGGCTACGCGGATAGGAAGTCGGTGACAACGTTCATCTCTGAGCTGCAAAACTACAAAGCAGCGTCGGGGATAGAAGACGAGGTAGTGCTAGACCGTCTCCTCCCGGTTGCACTAACGGACAGTGCAGCACTGTGGAGGCAAAGACAAACCAAATTCACGAGCATGGCAGATTTTGAGGCGCGATTTAGGGCGGAGTTCCTGCCTCCGGATTACAACATGCGAATCAGGGACGAGCTGCGCGCGCGCACACAGCACCCGGACGAGTCACTCATTGAGTTTGTAAGGGCTCTCCAGGGCCTGTATGACATCGCCGACGCCGCGGCACCAGACGCGGAGAAAGTAGAACGCGCCATCCGCCAAAGCCACCCGCGTTTCCATCCCCATCTCAGGGGACGCACATTTCAGAACTTAGACGAGATGGCACGAGCAGCGATCACCATCCAGGCCGATATCCTCGCGGAACTTAGATACCGCCCCCCTCCTCCACAGAACATGACCCTGGAACCATCATTTGCGTGGTCTGGGAACGCACGGGTACATAGAGTCGGGGGAGAACCAGACTATTCCAACCAAGCGTCTGTCCCCCGAGCCCTAGATCCTCATGCATATGAATCACGAAGGCGCAGCGGGTTTCAGGGCATACGTTCACAACGCCACAACCCATCCATTGGTCAAGATGAGGTCTTGGCCTCTGGACCGGTAACGCGGAGCGGGGGAGGGGCAAGTACGACCGAGACACCGCACGAAGCCGACGGGCGGGCCACGAGTCGTTGTTTTCGATGCGGCCGGCCAGGACACATACGCCGGGAATGTAGCGAACAGCGGCGGCAGCCTCAGACACAGGGAAACGGCTACGGCCGGCGGTGGTAAGAAATCCCTACTCTCCGCCGGCTGCGCCGAAAACACGATCCACAAGATCGAGTCGCCGCAGCCGCCTCCGGGCCTCCCGGAGGCTCACATGGGCTCCGGGGACTGACGCTTTTCTATCGACCCTCGGTGGCCCTCCATCACTTTTTCTTCCTCATAACACTCCTCGTTGTGAGACTCCCGGCGTGTCCGATTTTCCATGGACACCCGGGCGCCCAGCTCGCACCGTTCGCGGTGTTGAGACTCCCGGCGTGTCTACTCTCGCATCGACAACCGGGCGGCCAGCTCACAACACTTTCCGTCATGAGACTCCTGGCGTGTCCGCGTTCGCGTCGACAACCGGGCGCCCAGCTCACACCGTTCGCGGTGTTGAGACTCCCGGCGTGTCTGCTCTCGCATCGACAACCGGGCGGCCAGCTCATAACACTTTCACTCTTCGTCGTGAGACTCCCGGCGTGTCGGCTTTCACACCGACACCCGGGCGCCCAGCTCACACCGTTCGCGGTCTTGAGACTCCCGGCGTGCCTGCTGTTGCAGTGACACCCGGGCGGCCAGCTCACAACACTCTCCGTCATGAGACTCCCGGCGTGTCGGCTTTCACACCGACACCCGGGCGCCCAGCTCACACCGTTCGCGGTCTTGAGACTCCCGGCGTGTCTACTTTTGCACAGACACCCGGGCGGCTAGCTCATAACACTCTTCGTCGTGAGACTCCCGGCGTGTCGGCTTTCACACCGACACCCGGGCGCCCAGCTCACACCGTTCGCGGTCTTGAGACTCCCGGCGTGCCTGCTGTTGCAGTGACACCCGGGCGGCCAGCTCACAACACTCTCCGTCATGAGACTCCCGGCGTGTCGGCTTTCACACCGACACCCGGGCGCCCAGCTCACACCGTTCGCGGTCTTGAGACTCCCGGCGTGTCTACTTTTGCACAGACACCCGGGCGGCTAGCTCATAACACTCTTCGCCGTGAGACTCCCGGCGTGTCGGCTTTCACACCGACACCCGGGCGCCCAGCTCACACCGTTCGCGGTCTTGAGACTCCCGGCGTGCCTGCTGTCGCAGTGACACCCGGGCGGCCAGCTCACAACACTCCCCCTCATGAGACTCCCGGCGTGTCGGCTTTCACACCGACACCCGGGCGCCCAGCTCACACCGTTCGCGGTCTTGAGACTCCCGGCGTGCCTGCTGTAGCAGTGACACCCGGGCGGCAAGCTCACGACATTCTCAGGCATGAGACTCCCGGCGTGTCGGCGATCGCGCTGATCCCCGGACGGCCGGCTTACACTGTTGACGGCCGTAAGCTGCACGAAACAATTGCATTTGAGTTGGACCCTAATGCGATTCCCTTTCAGCCAAACGTCGGCCCGCCAGATTCCGGCCCGATCCCGAGTGTCAGTGCCGCGTTGAAGTTCTCAACACCCAGGATGGTCGCTCGGGATGGCCGGGTGCCCGTGGACTCGCCACGGCCGGCGGGGTTTGGAACAGCCTCTCGAACCGAGAGACCGGCAGAGCTCATCCCTGCTGTAAGTAGAATGGAAACTAGAACCAAGTCCCTTGAGCCACGTATCACCGTGAATGTACTAGGTACCCCAGTGGCCGCTCTTCTAGATACAGGGGCAAACATATCGCTTATGGGGGATGCTATGTTTGCGGAGTGTAACAAGAAAAAGATACATCTCCGGTCGGCAAATGTAAAACTGCAGGTAGCATCGGGGTCCGTACTGCCTGCTGCCGGCGCAGTGAGATTGCGAATTTGCTTTCATGCCAGAAAACGAAGACAACGTTTTGTGTATCTCCCTGGACTGCCAGTTCCCATGATCCTTGGTCGGGATTTCATTACGGCAGAGCAGCTTTCACTAGACTTCGCCCGAGCTGGATATTCATTGGGGGGCGAAACGAAATTAACGCCGTTTACCAGACAACAAGATTGTATTCGCGGCCAAGCGTTTCCGGTAAACGTTGCCGGGCAGGTGTCTTTACTTCCAGACAGCGTGCTCAAGGCCGTGCAAAAGTGTTCCGGTGAGAACAACCAGAAGCAGCTCCAGCACCTGCTGGAACCCTTCTCGCCGATGTTCACGGAAAGACCTGGGAAAACCGATCTTATGCGGCACCGAATCGAAACCAAGGACGCACCACCCCGGAGGTGCAATGCGAGACCCATCAGTGCCCACAAGCGCCAACTTTTGGATACGGCGCTCGCAGAAATGATCGACACCGGCGCAGTACGTGAGTCAAAAAGCCCTTGGGCCTCACCGGTGGTTCTGGCCCCAAAGAAGGATGGTACAGCCAGGCTTTGTGTAGACTATAGGCGACTAAATGAAGTGTCAATCAGAGACAGTTATCCTTTCCCTAGTATCTCCTCGGTGATGTACGCCCTCGGAAATTCGACCGTTTTCACGACCCTTGACTGCAGCCGGGGGTTTCTTCAAATCGAGGTCCACCCCGCTGACGTGCCAAAAACGGCATTCATTTGCCACAGAGGGCTATTCGAATTCACTCGCCTTCCCTTTGGGTTGTCTAATTCGCCTGCCAGCTTTCAGCGCTTAATGGATGTCGTGCTCGGCGATGCGAAGTACGAATTTGCGATGGCATACATGGATGACGTCGTCGTGTTTTCACGAACTTTCGAGGAGCATCTCGTACATCTCCGCATTATACTAGAACGAATGCGCCAGGCCGGCCTTACAATTCATCCGGGGAAGGCACAGCTGGCCGTTCCAGAAATCAAACTTCTCGGTTTTGTGGTTGATGGCGGCACGCTGCGTCCAAACGAGGATAAGCTACGCGCGATAACGGAATACCCCCCGCCCCATGACGTCAAAGCTCTGCAGAGATATCTCGGTATGATCGCTTTTTACAGGGATTTCATACCGCGATGTGCCGAAATAACGGCGCCACTGAATCAACTTCTCCGCAAGAAAACGAAGTGGTGTTGGGGCGAACAGCAGCAGATCGCGTTTGCAGCTCTTTCGAAGGCTGTGACAGACAACGCGTGCCTGCATCTCCCAGACTTGAATCGTCCGTTCACTTTGCAAACCGACGCAAGCGATTACGGGTTGGGAGCAGTTCTCTTACAAGAATACGACAACCTCCTTCGACCGGTAGCATTCGCCAGCCATACGCTTACCGGAGCAGAACGGAATTATTCTACCACCGAGAAAGAGTGTCTGGCGATTATCTTTTCCCTAAAAAAGTTTGACATGTACCTAGATGGAGCGTCATTTTGTATTCAAACTGACCACATGGCTCTTTCTTGGCTGAAAGGACTTCAAAACCCAGCAGGCCGCCTCGCTCGATGGGCACTAACACTCCAGCGCTACAAGTACACCATTGAGTACAAGCGCGGAGCGACTAACAACGTGGCAGATGCGCTTTCCCGTGCTCCACTTCTCGGGCAGGAGATGCAGGTGGATCCCGACTTGGTGGCGGTGGCTGTCTCCGTGCCTATCACCACGGATTCAAGATGGGGAACACTGGTGAGCAGAGAGGAGCTCCGGACGGCCCAGCAGGCCGATGGGCTCTGCCAGCGGGTGACGCAGGCCCTGGCAGAACGGAGCCCAACCGACGCCGAGGTTCCTGGGGAGTTCGACTCGTACCTGCTGAGCAGCGACAATATCCTGCTGAGGTACATCCACCAGGAAGACGAGGCCGGTGGTTCGCCGTTCCGGTCCGTGATACCTCGCAAACTGCGTAAGTCCTTCATAAGATATATGCATGACTCCGCATTGGCCGGGCACAGCAGTGGGAGCAAGACTTACGAAAAGTTAGCCCAAATTGCAACGTGGCCCGGTATGAGACAGGACGTTATGAGGTACACGCGCAGCTGTACGGCGTGCCAGAAGGCAAAACCCCGAGGGGGACAACCACCAGGCTTAATGAAATCGGTCGAAAGTAGATACCCTTGGGAATGCGTTGCATGCGACGTGGTCGGACCTTTTCCCCGTAGTCCGCGAGGAAACCAGTATTTGCTTGTAGTGACGGACCACTTCACAAAATGGGTTGAACTGTTTCCTCTGCGCAAACTTGACTCCAGGAGAATCTGGGATTGCCTTCTCGAGACATTCGCTCGGTTCGGCTTTCCAGCAACACTCATTACGGACAACGCTTCTTATTTTATTAGCAGGGTGTTCGTGGACGCATGCAAGGCATTGGGGATACGGCACAAAAAAACGTCGCCGTACCACCCACAGGCGAATATTACGGAAAGAGTAAACCGAAACCTCAAAATGATGCTGGTCACGCACACAAAGCAGCACAAGGATTGGGACGCGAAACTGGCGGAAATGGCATTCGCCACACACACAACACTGAACCGGTCTACGGGTTTTACCCCAGCCCTACTGAACTTTGGAAAAGAACTCGTGTTTCCCCTGCAAAATGGTCTTCTTTGCACAGACCAAGCACGTGTGCAGCGCACCACTACGCAGTTCGCAGCAGATCTCCAGCAGCGCTTCTTTGGGAACCTACGTGAAGCTCGAGAGAACCTGGACATCTCGAGACTCCAGCAAGCGGAGCAGTACAACAAAGGGAGGCGGAATTTGAGGTTCAATGTAGGAGATCTGGTGCTGAGGTGAACTCATCCGCTAAGTGACGCAGCTAGGGGCTTCACGGCGTCCCTGGCCAATAGGTGGGAAGGCCCCTACCGCATCAGCAAAGCACTATCTGACGTCACTTACAAGCTGGTGCACTGCGAGTCCGGTGAAGTGTGCGGGTCCATTCATGTTACCCACATAAAACCTTTCAATGAACCCGAGGAGTTAGAAGTGATTCAGGATCCAGCGGAAAGTGATCATGATCAGTGCCCACAGGTTCCTACACCACCCCCGCCACGTTACAACATGAGGCGGCGGTGAAGACAGCGAAAGAAGGCACACAAACTCCTACAGTATTAGTGGGAGACCATTTTACGTTAGGGAGGGGAGGAGCAGGGGGCACCTTGCGGGAGGGTCCTTGCCGCTGCAGATGGAAAGACACCATCAAGCGGCGCGACCACTTATTTCGGCTGAATAAGTTCTCATTGGGTTCTTAGAGGGCAAGGCGACGGGTAGGTCGCCTGTCAGTGTTCCGTCCTCGCCATACATCTCTTCCCTAATGAATAACAGATCTCACTTTAGTAGAGGCGAGGCGACGGCTAGGTCGCCTGTCAGTGTTCCGTCCTCGTATACATCTCTTCCCTAACGGATAACATATCTCATTTTATTAGAGATGCCCATCTGATTTGCCTTGTCTCCCAGATGGTTCGAAACTACCGCCGGAGGAACCCGCCATACCAGCGCCTCCCCCCAAGGTGGCGCACAGGGGAGCAACAGGCAGAGCCAGGCGCCCCGGGCGCCCCGTACGGTGCCTGCCTCCGTCCGTGCCGCGGGCATGGAGGTTCCCGGGACGGCCACCTGGGTCGTCTGGCCCGACCGTTCCGCAGCCCCCGTGGGCTTCGTGTCGAGGGCTCCCTGGGTGGAGCAGCCCCGGCCCCTGGTGGGCGAGCCCTCAGACTCTACCCCCCCTCCGTTCCGTGGACGGACGCTGGCGCAGCGCCATGGCAGCGACCCTCCGGCGCCCTTCACCGAGGAGGAGCGCGCCGCTCTCTGCTCGGTGTGCGGCGTGCTAATTGTCCACTGGGAACACCACCGACATGGCGCCCTGCACGCTGCGCGCCGAGCGGTGAGGGAAGCGGCCTTGGCCGTGGCGTTTCGCCCGTTTACGGAGGACGACGCCGCGGCCGCGCTGGTTATTCTGCGCCGGATTCGCCCGGGGCCACTCCGGGGCGCGGAAAACGAGCCCGACCCCGCGCTGCTCCTGGACCAGCTGGACCTGGGCCCGGGCACCCCTTGAAGGGGGGAGGAGTGTGGTGGCCACCGCCACACTGACCGCGCCGGCAGAGGGCAAGGCGCCCGACGGCAGCGCCACGCGCCGGCAGGGCGCAGCTGGGGGGGAGGCACAGGGGCATTCGGGATCGAGACGGGCATTAAAGAAGACGTGAGAAATCCTTCCTTGTTGTTACGTGTTCTTCCGGGGTGGACCGCACGGACGAGAACCCGGGGGCTTCCAGCTGTGGGCAGGGAAACCCACAAACTATGGTTCCGACGATGTGCGGCGACGGAGGTGGCGTAACGAAACTGGAGATCGGTCTATTCTGGTGTGCATTTTGGGAGATGCCTTCATTTTAAAGTTTAAAAAAAGCTGCAATCTCGCACCTTTTCGGGCATTCCACTGGCTTCGATTTCAATGCTACCTTTTAGAGCAGGGGGGCCAAGCTGCGGCTCGCGAGCCGCATGCGGCTCTTCGCGTGTTAAAGTGCGGCCCGTGGCTCTCTCCCCAACCCTTCTCCCCGCCTCCCTCCCGTTAACACGAGCACTTCCCCAAAAAGAGAAATGGAACGCATTTTAAATCGAAAGACAGGTTGCGGTTTGGTATCCTTGTGCTACTGCTACCTTATGCTCAGTTGAACTACTTTTGCCTCGGATAGATTGAAAGTAGTTCGAGTTCCGTTTATTGCTCTCGACAAAAGTTTGCCCCTCCCTTCCCCCTCTTCCTTTTTCTTCTTCTCCTCTCCGTATTCCTCGGCGGCATGTCAGCCGAGAAGAAGCGGGAAACGGGCGCGTGCGCGTTGCGGCAGTGTATCGAGTACAGCTCCACTGGTGTTCCTTCTTCACGAGAGTGGAAAGGCTGAACGTTTTATCACTTCCCTTTTATCCGAGGGGAAATATTAATGTCCAAGTGTTTCAACATAAATAATGTACTACTTGTCCATACCCACTCAGAGAGACTTGCAATTAGAGCCGACACTTTTACGAAGATGCTTCTCGTGCACTGGTTAAACCAAAGTCCTTCGTCAAAACGTCGGCGGCCATCCCCAGCCTTTCCCGGTGCTTCATTAGAGAATTCCAGGATAGCGTATGCACAAGCTCCGAATACGGAAAGAATAGTGTCGCCACCACTGCACATGTGTCAAATGCTAACAGGAACTTGCGCTATTTTTCGAAAATTGCACGCATATGTAAAGATCTGTTGCACTTCTCCAAGGAGGATATGTGATACGTGATAAGCTGGCTAAAGCCAAGACGAGCACAGTTAAAAAAAAGCGGCTCCCAGGACCACAGCTGCAGCTGCTTTGGCGGTTGTCATGAGTGCAGTGTCAACGGCCTTCTCGCGACTGCAATCTTCAATACAGGACGACGTCGCACTCCTACGGGAGGTCCGTGTCACAAATGGTTTGGAAAACCCTTTAAAGGACACGTGCAGAGGAAAAAGACGTTTTTTTTAGACAGCTTAGATGGAAAAAGGATGTCATAAAACGATTTTACAATAAATAAAACACAAAAAAACTTTAGAGCTATATTTATGACGCTATACGAATTTGTAGTTGGCGATCGCGGGAGCCGCCGCTGGTCACGTGGTAGGCCCGCGCGCCGCCGCGCTGAGTCGCCGCCGCACGCTGAGCGTTGTGCGAACGCCGCTTCAACGCGTTTCTCCACGCCGCCGCCGCACAAGTTTGTCTGCTTCGGGCACCGCCGCCGTAGTCTGACCGGTGCACAGGTCTATCACGACTGCTTGCGCTTTTTCAGGAGTTTCCTTTGGGCTCTAAAAGTTACTTATTCATCTTAGTTTCTTGTTATACTTCAAACAAAGACGAATAAGTTACTTTTAGAGGCCATAGGAAGCTTCCGAAAGAACGCAAGCACCACGTGACAAATATGGGCCTGTCAAGGGCCACTTTTCCGCGGCGCCCGCCGGCGCCAACTACAAAATCGTATAGCGCCGTAAATATAATTCTAAAAATTTTTTTCCTTGGTTGTAAAATTGTTTTATGATATCCTTTTTTTCATCTAAGCTGTTTAAAAAAAATGTTTTTTTCCTTTGCATGTGTCCTTTAAGGTGGGCAACGACTGCGGGCAACTCGCTGCTTGTGATGCGCAAACGTTTCTAGGAGAAAGTACGGCGCATGGAAGGTCGGTACACGAGACCCCTTTTGCCGAGGTGACGCGAACGGACAAGACCGGTCAACCGCTTGCGCCACATAAACATGTCTAAAATGTTACTCTGGCCCAAATACCATATTTACTCACAGAACGAACACACTTTTTTTTTCGAAGTAAAATTTTTGCTTCAGTCATAATGAACGAACCAACCTTTTTTCCTGAAAAATCAACGTAACTTCTTATCTCTTTGCGCGCCGCGGCGCCGCAAGGCGGCGCGTGACCCCCTAACCAAACTGGGCTGTGCAAAAGAAAAAAAAGCTCCTATTTGTTTTTGTTTTTTTTCTCTCAATTCCCTGGGATTGTTTTTTTTTTTTTTTGCAGTGGCAAGCTGTTTTTTTTGCTTAGGCGAGGGTTTCTCCCCTTATCTTTCTTATCTCCTTGTGCCCGAAGCGCGACCCCGTAACCAAACTGCCCTGTGCAAAAAAAAAAAGAAGAAAAAAAGCACCTCTGTTTTTTTTTCTCTTAGTTCAATGTTTTTTTTTTTTTTTGGCGGCCTTTCACAAGCTGTTTTGTTCGCTTAGGCATTGCTTAGGCTCTCCACTTCTCTTTCTTACCTCCTTGCGCGCCCGCCCCGTGACCAATTAACCAAACTGCGCTGTGCAAAAAAAGAAAAAAAAGCTCCTCTTTGCTTTGTTTGTCTTAATTCCTTGTTTTTTTGTGTTTTTTTTTGCCGCCTTTGGCGAGCTGTTTTGTTTGCTTAGGTTTGCTTAGGGGAGGGCTTCTCCGGTTATCCTTCTAATCTCCTTGCACGCGGCGCGTGACCCCAAAATTCCAGACTGCGCAGTGCAAAAAAAAAAAAAGCTCCTCTCCATGTTTTTTTTTCTTGCTTCCCCTTGGACCTTTTTTTATTTTTTAGCACCTTTTGCAAGGCGTTTTGTTCGCCCACGCTGCCCATGCATTCGCGACGTTGGTGCACCAGGATAAAAAAAAGTGCATTCATTTGGCGCCCGTGAGGGGAGGGGTGCGTTTAATACGGGACTGACAAAAAAAGTCGAAATTTTGAGAGCCGACTTGGGGGGTGCGTTCATTACGCGAGTGCGTCCATTGTGCGAGTAAATACGGTAACTTGCGTTCTTCTAAGTTATAGCATTTCCTGCGCGAAATAAAAATTGTCACCGTAGCTTGGTGGCGTTGCAAGAGCGAGATGCTCGGGTTGTTGCGTCGCAGTGGAGAAACGCTATCCTAAAACTCTCTTGCGTAGCACGCTCTAATGCGAGCGCTAAAATTGTGCGCTTTATTCTAAAACTCCCTAATCTCCCAGGCATGATGCAGCTAAAGGGGTTCAAACCTCTGGGCTTGGTGGGGGCCTTGCTGGCACACTTGGTGCAGCCCCCTTCCAGGGGCTGGCTGGTGTAGAAGTTCTCGCAGCAGAGCAGCTCCTCAAACAGGTTCTCCAGGTAGTTCCAGAAGGAGGACACTTTGTCGATGGCGGGCAGCCGGCACGTGTGCAGGCGCCCGTCAATGTTGGCTGCAGGGCAAGAGGAGAGAGGCACGCCATTCATTTCCAGGCACTTCTTTGGCATGGGTGGATGGATGGACGGATGAATGCGACTAAACCAGCAGAATCGGAAGCCGACATGCACCACTCAGTCACTATTTTTAGTATTGGAAACTATAGCCACTGTTATTTGAAAACTACCGTAAAATACAGAACATCCTCCCATTCCACAATAAGTGCCCACCCTTGGATTTGTAACTTTGTGCTAGAACAGCCCGCCAACTGTAACGATAGGTATTGCATAATTCAAAATGTTTTACGCTACCACGATTTGCTTAATTCTAGCTCGTGTAACTATTTACACTTCAGTCCCAAATGTCCTTCCCCCTGCTGTAATGCCTCGTGGCACCCTGGGTACCCGAATAAACAAAATTTAGAGACTGGGAGGGCTCCTCGGTTAAGGGGGGACACTACACGGAGAAAAGGAATTCTGCAAAAAACATTGATTTTGAAAAATTACATATTTACATCCATCAAAATCCAGAGAGTGTTCCCAGAAATCTTCACTAGTTTACACTGCATAGTTAATTTTTTATAAATTATTTTCTGTCCACCGAAGCTAAAGAAAAGGTTGGGTTTGGAGCACTTGAAACACATTTTTCTCCGTTCCACTTTTTGGTATAAATTCCATTTTAGTCAATCTGTCGTTTGATAATGGCAATACAGGGAAGGCTCGTTCTTCACTTTTCCTGACTGAAATTTAATAAAGAGTGCACCTCTGGAGTTTGTTTGTCACTTTACAGACGTCTTTTATAAAAAATGTTGACATTTTCTCGGAGACACAAAAGACCAAAAAATTGACCAATTTTGCAGAAGAGAAAATTGATAGAAATCAATGACTTTTTACAAAAAAACTTTCCATAGGCGCACCATCTAGGCATTCTGCTAAATATCGAGCGAATAAAAATCTTGAATATTGTGATAGTTTTCCGACGATAGATTAACTAAACAATGTAGGGGTGTTGCTGATAGAAGCTGCCCTAATTTCCTTCCCAATTAACCGACAGACCTGAAATTTTGTTATGCACCCTCTAGCATGAGCACCGGCCTACCCTGTAAATTTCATTAATTATAAGCCAAGGGTTCAAAAGCTGACCCTCCCGGGGGTGTATACCCTTAAAGGGCAACTCCGCTTCTTTTCCAGTAGTGCAAAACTATATAGTTATCTTTGTTATCATCTACAAAACCCCCATGGCAAATATTACGACGGAATTCCGCCTAGAAGTTCATTAAAATCGCTGTCAAAGTTTGACAAGCACGAATCCGCTGGTTTTGGATGAGACGTGCGGGCCAGACAACACTGCCCGGCTGCATTTCCGCTTCCTCCAAATTCCTTCTCCCGGCACGTCCGCGACGTCATCAAACATGTACAGCTTCTTTTTTTTTTTTTTTTTTTTTCAATTTTGTTTTTTTTCCCGGGGAGAGCACGGGTGGCGCCAGCGCCGTGAAAGACGTGAGTGACGCGCTCGGCCGGCCCGGCGCTCGACTATTGATACTACTGATAAGCCGATCGCCTCGTTGAGCGCGGCTTGTGTTACATCGCATACTTTTGAACACCAAGTAAAAGGAGGAGAGGGAAGCTGCTTTTGTAAGAATTTTGAGTGACAGGTTAATCTTCTATAATCTTCTGGGAGGAGAATAGCGACGCCTGAGCTAATCCAGGAGGCACAAAGGAGGATCCTGATAAGAGGGGAGCTTCTTCTTCCCCTTGTATATCACGTGGGTGTACATGCTTAGTGATGCCGAAAATACAATGTTGTCCGGCTTTGCCACCGTTTCGGTTTCGGTTTGTGATCATGGCTAAAGTAGAATTACACGAAAAATATTTTATTTTTCGCGAAACAAAGGATCGGGGATTGTTTTTGAGTGCTTCAAAAAGCAAAATCGGCCACTATCTCAAAATTTTTGAAATTAAGCGGAGTTGCCCTTTAAGAAGAAAAAGTATGAGAACGCCACTCTACGGCACGGAGACAGGTCCGGCGTCTAAACGGAAACGGAGGTCGTCGGAAGAGGGGACGAACTCGACCCTCGTGTAAAAGATAGGCAGAGAGAGACGAGGAGCGTCACCGTTGATGATGACCTTGCCGTCGCCCTTGCGGAGCAGGTTGTAGACGTTCCTCTCGATGAGGGAGCAGTCCACGCATGCCTGCACGGCCTCTCGGAGCACCCGGTTCATGGAGCCCGGCCCCAGCTGCCGGGGCAGCTGCCCAATCTTCTGGGGGTCCAGGTAGGGCCCACATGAGCACTGGTGGTTGACAAAGACGCACACTGCGAGGACAACAGAGACGCGTCAGGACAGCTGACATGTGTAAGTTTTAAGAACACGTAAAGTTATACACTTCATTCATCCTCAAAACATTTTTTTTAGAATTCTGGAATGGGACACGTACGTAACAAAATAAACTACCTTTTCCCCCAAAACGATATTTAGTGGAATATTTATGCCCCGAGATTCATTTCAACAATTCTAAAACACAATCCTAGTATTTCAAAATCGATGTCTTGAAACAGGAGCATATCTTAGAATTGCACCTAACTCAAAATGAGCCTTACACAATGTGAACATTGTGCCCATTTATTTTTGCGCATGAAAGTTTATAAAACAAAATATTTGTCGGGAGATTGGTGTCACTTTAAGCCAACAGGGTAGCGAAGGCTACGGGCACGAGATCCACGGCTTTAAAACTTGCTTCTACGGAACTAGTTGTTCCACTACAAAAAAAAAAAAAAAATGACCGCATCTCCACGTGGTGAATGATGTTGATTGGGGCGAAGCTCTGGTGGTGCTGATGATACTGATTTTATTGTTCATAGGTAGTGCTGATTCTTTTTTATTGCTCATAGGTTGTGCTGAGTTCCGGGTTGCGTTTCGACTTCATTATTACTACTTTATGGTCGGTGAAATGCACAGCCAGTGGTTCTTCTAGCGGATCAGCTTGGATCCGCTAGAAGTCGTGGGAACGCATCTCTACCGCTTAAGTCAACGATCCATGCCAGAAAGAGAATGTGTGGTATGGAACGTGGTTATATAAGCATTTGAGCATTTGACCGCAGCACCCTCTCGTTTATAAACATTGAGTTAATGCATGCAAAGTTTAACGCGATTATATACGCATTTGACCGCAGCGCCCTCTCCTGCATAGACGTTGAGCGGCTACATGCAACGTTTCATCCATGATATCACCAGCTCTTGAGTTACTACCACATCTCAGAGCCCCCTACTCGTCCCGCAGTCGTGGCCGAGTGTGATTAAGGCAATGGACTAGAAATCCATTGGGGTCTTCCTGCACAGGTTCGAATCCTGTCGACTGTGCAAACATTTTTTCTTTTTATGTGAGCACGGATGCCGGACGAACGGACAAGGCTAGACCCTAAGGAGCTTCACCCCTAAAAACACTTCAACGCATACAGTGCGGGCTAGCTCACACCTGTGGCCTCTGTTGCCCCGTAAGTTTAGAAACGAGAGCAGCGCAGCATTTTCTTTGACCCTCACAAAACGAGTGTCAAATGCGAAAAAAGAACGAGGGGGCTGGAGTGCCACCACCGAGAAAAGGGGCACACACAGGCAGGAATTAAGTGAGCAGGGAGCAGGGCCCTAACCATGCCACTACCTCCTCGAAAATAGGGCACCTATTAAATTCCCTTCTTTGTAGACTCTTTCCGGAGTCTCTACGTTTTCAATTCCCCAATATCGTGAGGGGAAGGTACTCTCACAGTCACTCCAGACTTGGGTACTTTATGCTCGGTTCGTATTGTTTCTGCGACGACGGCCATTATTAGCTATGTTTCGCGGTGGATCCGGTGCGTGCACGGTGTACGGCGTGGCCTGGTAAATGTAGCTGGCAACAGCCGTGTCGCGGGGCACCGATGTCACGCGAAGCGTTTCCCTGATAAATTTAACAGGGTATCACGACATCAGGTGCAGCGTTTCCCCGCTAGATTTAGCGAAGGAATTTTACCGCTAAATAAACTTAGCAGAGAAGTCTCGAAGCTAAATTTTAAGGTGGAAATTGCCATGCCACGAGACGATGCAGTCTTTGATCATTTGCCAAATTTTTAACGGCGGTAGAGAATGACCGCGTGTGGAGAGAGCGTGCAGTGCCTCGGCTGTCACCTCGATTTATTTGCGAGGAGCCTACGATTCCTGCAAACGCTTTTCGAGTATTGTTTTCTAGTTACAAAAGCACCTCGACTGTAGCCGAGCCAGTGACAGTGGGTTCAATTGCGATGATTGGCAGGAGCTACGAGGCGGCGCGCCTTCATTGAGCCACTAACGAAGTCAAGTTCAACCGAGCTTGCCTGCCTTGGTAGAACAGAGTTGGTCTTTGGTAGCAAAGTACTTGCTCCGTTAGAATGATGGGGTGGGCATCTAGTAAACGTTTTAGCAAAGAAACATTGTGGGAAGAGACATGTTTAGGGGCTATGGAGCGGTCGTTACAACAATCCTGCCAGATTGCAGAACTTGAAAACAGACAGTGCTCCGTGACTCTACGAGAGCAGCCACCAATGGATGCTAATGGAAATGCAGTTTCCCCGATGTCACTCTTTTGTGCCTTCGTTTGACGCATTTTGATGCCCGACCTTATGCTCTAAAAGAAAGTGCTTCGATATGATTGCGTGACGCCACACTCAATTTTGCTCTGGTTTCAACTGGGACAAAAATGAAAGCCATTTACGACTCCTTGTAACACCGAATTAGAGTGCAACTCTTGAGGAGTAGGAGGGAAGGGTATTGAGGAAAGGGTATACCCCTCATTCCTCCTCCTCACCTCCTTACCTCCCTTCAAGCGGCGTCGCCGTCGGCGTAACTGTGAGGCCACGTGACCCTCGTGACCCTTGTGACCTCACGGGGGTCACGTGACGTGACGCGGGTCACGTGACCCCCCTTAGGACCCCCCTCAGGGGGTCACGTGACCCCGCAAAGATGTTCGGCACGGTGCTGTAACGTCACCATGCCGAAACATCACCGCAGTTACGGCAACGCCGCTCAAGCCAGAAATGGGTGCCTAAGAGCTGCGCTCTAAAAATTTGCACGATATTATCTTGGATCGGTTGAGCCTTAACACTGTTTGCAGCCCCCATCGGCCGTTGACATAACAACAGTCGAAACGCTCCGCCTAACCAGGGTATTACAGAGAATGGCTTCATTGACACAACACTAGCCGTTACTTAGCAATATTTTTCAGTAATGAAATGTCTCGAGCTCCATTATTTGCAATGATAATTCGTCAATGGCCTTAGCCATAAAAGTCGCAGAATGTGCTATAGGGCTGCGTTCCACAAGAAAAGTGACAAGTCATGCTTGATCGACACCCAGGTCAAGGCCATATAAGCAGTATAGCCCCATAATGGCTATATTGCTTACATGACCTCGACATCATGTCATGTGACACCCGACGATGTGTGATGCAGTGACGACACACACACACACACACACACACACACACACACACACACACACACACAAGCACACACAAACACACACACACGCCCAGATTATTTGCAACACATTCTGTGAGCCTCCGAGTTCACTGGATACGATGGAGACAGGCGTGAATTTTACATTTACATCCACTACAGTAATGTCTTGTTGATAGGAACACCTTTGTAATAGACAAAAATTCACAAATCTACCTCGTTTGTCTTCAAAAATGCCGTCCATATCGCGGGATATCAATATTCTTTCGCTTTGAGACATCGCCGTGCCGACGCATTCGCACATCTACCGTAAATTCCAGAGAGATGCCCCACCCCCGAAAGATAGCCCACCCATATTTTTGGCTTCATTTGCTATATTCTTTAGACATTGAAAGCTAGCCCACTCTTAGTAATATAGTGTTGGGATCAATGATGGCCTCGGCGTAAATGTGGCTAGTTTGCTATGGCTGGATATAAGCGAACGTTGCTGACTGGGAAATACAGTCATCTTTGCTTTGCTGCCCCTGCCACTATAAGAAGCTTGGAACGGGCACGACCTAAAAATAGCAATTTTTTAAAACTTTTTTTGATTGTACACTTAAAGGGATACTGAAGCGAAACTTGAAATACACCTATTATGGTCAGAAATAGGTTTAATACGATCAATGATACCCGTAAATCATAATCGCGCGTTTGTATTTTGAACGGATGGCTATATTTTTCACCCCGAGGGGCCCGATTGGGCACGCACTCAAAAATCAGCCATCGGAGAGCGCGATGCGTCTTGGGATATTGGGCGCGTTCGTGAAGTCACTTGTGCCAGACGGGAAAGGCTACGGCGTGGATGTTGTGGTTACGAGCGTTGACACTTGGTGGCGCGTCGACGATTTACGACCTGTGGACAACGTGGCCATTTGAGATGTGCAAGGACTGCCTGCACGCTGCACCACATCAAGTCAGCAACCACGGCACCACTAAAAAAACCAGCTCTGAGGCCGGATTCTCAAAGCGAACGACGAAAAAAGTGTGTACGACAAATTTGAGAGAAAACCCGTATTCTCGAAACTTTTGCGCAGGTTACGACAGAATCCTACGACAGCTCCGCAGCTGTCTTACGCACTTTGTACGATCAAATCAACATGGCCGACAGCCTTGCTCAGTTACTTGGTAGCGACGACCAACGGATAGTTATTTTTCTACGTGCTCTTCTCGTGCCTCCCGACTTCAACCAGCAAGAAAAAAGGAAGGAGCACTTGAAACAGACGACGACGATCAAGAACGCAGGATCCACAAACACCCGAGAAGAGCTACAATGGCTACGATTCTACCGACCAAGCGGGAAAGGCAGAATATAGTAGGCCTAGCAGCAACACCGACTCGGCGCACCGTTGCTCCGGCTGTCCTTGGCCAAGACCGTCTGCCCATGACCGGCTGGTCTGCTGAATGGAATATGCCCGCGTGACCCTTGTGGACCCTTCCCGGATGAATAGTTTGATCCCTGAACTAAATTTCAGAGGTCAATCTTTTCCCCTTGTCATCTCGATCTCCTTGTTTTTTGAGACAGCGGTGACGAACGCCGTCGTTGAAAAGGGACTCTCATTGATTCTATCTCCTTGTTTTGTGTGATATAGAGCTCAAATAAATGCCATACGGATTACCTTTGCAACACGGTATGTACGCTTTGTTATTAGTATGCCATTTTTATTCTGACACGACGCTACGTCACTGTCGGTAGCTATGCGATGTCGGTCCAACCTTTCTTTGCCGAGTGTCATGTCAGTATTGAGTTGCAATCGTAAAAGATCGGTCCAGAAGCGCTTACCGAAACGCGGTCTAACAGCGGATCCAGCACTTCGATCAAACGCGCGTGTCCGCTCCGAGTGTGAACAGGTATTTGCGTGGCTCTTGCTGACACACTTGTAGTTCAAACATATTTTTTTTTAACGTCGGCTCGCAGCTCGCAACTCGCAGCAACTAATACCGGCCGTGCCGGAAGCATGCTCGGGTTGTGTCGTGCAAAGAGCCGCAACGAGAACGGGCTCACTGCGGCCAACTACGCTTTGGCTTTCTCCGCCAAGGTTTTGCAAACGCGTTCAGGCCTAGGCTAATTCTGCCGGCACGCCGTATTGCCGCAGAACGGCGCTGCTCCTATGCCACAAGTGATGTCACGAGAACTTTCCCACCATCCACCAGATGTGAATTTGAAATCGTTTAATTAGGTTTAAAATTAGTTCTCCTGCGTTTTACAGCGCGATATTGATATTTCCGAGGTGGTGCCTGTCCCTAGCCCATATTTATGCAGAAAGATCGGCGCTAAAATTTCTTTTCCGTACCCCTTTAAAGTTAGCCCACTCCATATTTTTAGCCGATTTGCTCTTGATGTTAGCTGGGCTCTCTCTCGGTATTTTACGGTAGTCGGACCAAGACACGCATGCACACAGAGAAGCAGAGCCCCGCCCTCACCGGCCGGGTTCTGCTTGGCCACCGTACTCGTGTCTGGCTCCGTGACCAGCACGTGGGACGACTTGACCCGGGTCACGGGCGACTGCTCCTTGGCCCCGCCGCCCTCCCCCGGTGGAGACGCTGGGGACGCGCCGGCCGTTGAGAGTGCCGTGCGTGCCCTTGTCACCGTGGCCGCCGGCGTGGCGGGCGCCGCCTGCTGCGAGGGCGCACCCCCCACGGGGCCGGTTGTGGCACCCACGTTGCGGGGGGAGGGCACGCGTGGAGGCGGGGGAATGCTCGGGGAGCTGGCTGTGCCGGCCGCTCCGGCTGCGCCAGAGCTGCCTGGTCGCGTCTTGTACTTGGCCCCTGGAAGACGGGAAACAGCGTCTTTGGAATGGGCCACTTCAAGGTACAGAAGATTCCCTACTTCCCGGCAGAAGAAAAAAGAGGTACCGGAATGAGGCCGGAAAGGGGGTTGAAATTCTGTTTGGGCTTGGCGCCATCTTATGGCAGCCTGGAGAACGTGTGGAAGAAAAAGGACGGTTCCTCGAGCTCCCGTCGTGCTGCGCCATCTCATGGCATTTGTCAGAAATGGGGGCGAACCTTGCTCCCATTTTGCTCCACGGCTCCACTTGCTCCACGGCGAGGCGGCCCCATTTGGACACCTCTTTCTACTTCCACAGCGCTCTACTTCATTTTAAAGGGAGACTGACACCTCCCAAAATTTTTGTTTTATTTCGTGAAAGGTGATTCATTCTGGTGTCAGAAGACTACCCAATCAATCTTTTGCTATGGTGTCACATATATTTTTAATAAAGTCAAAATATCATGAGCCATTCCACTCTGGATGACCAGTGAAGCTGTTTAGCACACAACACAGACCCGCCCCGAGGTGCCGGAGGAAACTAGACAGACGCAACGGGACCGCCACCTTGGGAGAGCGGACGGAAAGGAAACTAGGCACGCAAGTGGTTGGAATGACAAAGAGAGGGCGGTGCGAACGTAGACATGGCTGACGTGGGTCACACAACAGCAAATCTTTAAGAAACCTTTATTATCTACCCAAGTCTATTGATCTTGAAAATGGTGACTACTGATAACTAATCTGCTGAATAGACCTATTGCTAAATTACCTAAGCACCAAGGAGAATGCAGAAAACGGTGTTCGACGTGTCGCACATGCCGGCATCTGCAGCAGTAACTGTTCTAAGGCAAAAGCCTAAAACAAATGGCACCTTGCACGCGCGTTCGTCAATGCTTTATTTTGGTTATTTACTTTGAATCTTTTATACGAGGAAGGCGTACGCGTGCACTGGTGCGAGCGTAGAGTTTTTAGTCACTGCACACAAAGAATCCACGGGTAAACAGCCATGCTGTAAAAACGCAACTGCTCAAAACCGAAACTGGACAGGGGAGAAAGAAGAAATATAGAGGAGAGAGTTGGCAGAAAACACTTAACTGTGCAAATTGTTTTTTTTTTTTTTTTTCAAACAACATATTTGTAGCTTTTTATAGAAGCTGCGAAAAATGGGTATCATACTTATTGTCTTTTTTTAGTATTATATGTGTGCCTTCGATGACCGATGACTAGTTATCTTTGGTGGTTGTGTCTAAACCATGGAAAACAGCATGTGACCATAGAGAAGAGAGTGAAAGCGACTCAAACTGGTCAGTTCTCGATCGGTGGTTTTCGGGTGGAAAGAAAACAAATTTCGAGCCGCATTTTGTGTTCTGGGTACATGGTTGGGCTCTCATCTGTCATGTACAAATAGTAACCTTGGCAACCATGAATACCCTGTCAGTGTCCCTTTAAGGCTGGTTCATTTAGCTGCGTTTGACCCCGATCGACTGTGGTACAGATGTTTGCGACGACTTATGACCATTGAATACGCCACGCACAGTGCTCAAAGTCAGGGGGATTTCCTGGGTTCTTGGACCCCCACCAAATTTGAAGGGTTGTCCGAGACACCCCACCATAGCTTTAGCACTGGTGAAGACACAATCATAAGTACACCACCTTGTAAACAAAAACGTAAGGATTTTGCTCATTCAAGTTCGGTTGAGCCCATCTCCAGAGAGAGAAAAACTATGTTGTGAGAAGCCATGTCAATTTCGTGTGGCACATAATGGCGTATGTTTTAATAACACTCTTAATTCTTCACGAGCAAAATAATCAAAAGTTACGTTGTTTGTCGCTTTTGTTTGCCGACAAACATGCTGGTTTACGCATATGTTTTAATCAAGTGGGTTTTGAGTACATCTAATAAAACCCCCCTTGCCCCCTTCCCTTTATCACAGTTTGTAGAGATCCCCCGCAACTTACGGGAGACTTTAAGCAGTGGCTGCGCCATCTATTGGGTAGCCCCAGAACGTTTCGGATACGCATATGTTTTACAAATCATTCTTCTGCCTCGAGCTCGAATTAACTCTGACAATGATATAAGAGACCGCTTCTAATAAGTAGTGCATAGAGGCGATCTCGCAAGTACTGCAAAGCCTTCTGTCTAGTATTAAAGGGGCACTGACACCCCAAAGGTCGTATTTTTTTTATTGTCTAAAACGATGCAAGTTGCAGTCATAACATGCCAAAAAAAAACGCATAACAAAAAAAAATTTTCCCGCGCGCGCGTGCGGGAAAATGTTTGTTGTTTGATTTTCCCGCCTCTCGCCTCCTCGCTTCTTTTGATTCGTGACGTCAAGAATCATGAAATTTAGAAGCTTTGTAGGCGACATTTCTCTAACATTTAATAACGGCAATCGTAAAACAAGTTTCTTAACGCGATTGCAAGCACTACGGCCCTTCTTTTTGAAATACCAAAAATCGAAGTTCGTTGTGGTGCCGTCTCCTGGATTTGTATCCTCCCACGGAAAACAGGCGACACCGCTCAAAACCGGTGCGCCGTCGCTCGCTCCTTTCCTCTTCGCTTTGGGTCGCCATGGCAACAGCAGGGAGTCGTGAAAGAAAGTGGACTCTCAGGACTCCGCAATATTTAACGTCAACGCACCGGCGCGGATCGCGCGGGAACTTCGAATTCGGCATTTGGAAGTCGTTTTTTTACTTCACAAATACTGAATTCCCAAATTTCGAATTTTGAGGGTAATGTCCCGGCATCGTTTTCAATCGTTTCGGATAATAAAAAAAATTATAATTTTGATGTGTCAGTGCCCCTTTAAGAGGGTCGAAAGGTTCTAAAGCAACATTATGAGATTGACTTGGTCGTGAAACTCTCGGGGAGAGTCGAACTTCCCTTCTACCCGTAAACTGCCATCCGAAGGCTACGATTCAAAACTGTATTCTTCGGAGACGCCACAGTGAAGCGACACCCAGGCACCGTGTTTTGAAACCTGCATGTTCTATAGGGTATGCCGTAGTTAGTATTGCAGCCATCCCCAAAAACGGTGGCACGTCGAATGACGTGAGGCAAATTTCACTCGAGGAAGCAGTGCCTATAGGCAGTTATGTAACTGAGTTAACCTATGCTGGATTGTGGCCAAAGCTACAGACAGCCACGTCTAGACAGGCCCAATCTTGAAAAATTATGTTGGGCAAATCAAAGCACCGTGGCAGCTGAGCATCCTCCTCTCAAAATGTGCCAGGAAATTCCACATGCACAACTACAGGGGAACTCCAATCACGCATCCTCAGCGAAACCCCTAGAGAAACGATGTATTACAGGCTCAAATTACATGACAGACGGTTATACGCATTCCCCCTCGTACGACAACCCAGGCGCATTGCAATGCTGTGAACCGACGAAACACAAACACGAAATTGCGCCGGCGGACGTATTCTTTTTTTTTGCCAAGAGGCTGCTCGTTCTTTGTTCAATCTCCTCTGCCAGCAGTGTGGCCATTACCGTATTTACCCGAAAATAGGTCGACCACGAAAATAGGTCGACCCCTATTTATTGAGCCCACCGCAAATAAAAAAAAAATAATTCAAATATAGGTCGACCTTTCTTTTTTTTTTTTTAAGGAACAGGGGAAAGTTAGGGCTAAAGAAACAAACCTTTATTTACAGCACTCTCAGCTAAATCACAGGGCGATGTCAAAAAAGCTTCGTCAGCTTGGTAGACATCCTCGCAAATTGGCAACAATACTTCACTGACAGCGTTGTAAAAGGAATGACGACAAGAAGAAACGAAAGAAGGTGGAGACGGGCGAGCGACGAAAGATCAAACACAAAGACGCGAGCAACGCTGCCAGCCTCGTGAGCAGCACGCGACCCGCCCAAAAAAACAAACTAAAATGCCTCCGGTTTTTTTTTTTTGTTTGGGCGTTTGCGAGGGAGAGAGGAATGGAGCGCATAGGAGGGCAAAGTGCAAAGTGCATGGCGCATCGCGTTCCTCTCCCTCGCCTTCCCCCTTGCCCAGCGAGGGGAACGCTACAGGCGTGATGGCGAAACTCGACGCCCGAGGTATGTGCGCGAGAGCCGTAGTCGGCGGCCACGGGCTGTCGGCTGCTGCTGCTTGGTTGTTTTTGTGCATCAAAAGCTTTTTGAAACAAGAAGCCGCGCGGCTCTACCGGGACGCCGGCTAGGTGATTGATAGCTCCATACCCTCGGTAGGGTTTCAAATTTTGGTTGCGAATTAGGTCGAAATTCTTTGGTCACGATTATAGGTCGACCCTTAATTTTTGACAAAATTTCCGAAAAAAAAAGGTCGACCTATATTCGAATAAATACGGTAGTTGCTTTCACCTCTTCCTTCCAATCGAGCCTTCCTTTGCTTTCGGGCTTTCCGGCAACGAGTTCCACTTTCCTCTAACACCTTGTGCTCTGCTCTCTCCATCTTTCTTTCCTTGACAATGAGATGCGACCACAACACACTAAAGAGGCGACAGGCCTCGGCGTGTTCTCTCGTTACGATTTCCGTGCGGGCTCCACAATTCGCATGCTCGCCTAACGAGGACATGCTGCACCCCCTTGGACATGGTTGCGAAGTGGGACATGCGCAGTACACGCCAACAAATGTCACGCAGGGAACAGCGGTGACTGACGCGCAAAGAAGCACGAGAAGCAGCACCATGATCGCCGCAGTGCCAGCAGTGTTTAGAATGCATCGTGGCTTCTGGACCCTGTCAAACTCCACAAATGTACTTAAGGGTGGCTCTGACCCCTAGAGATGCCCCCTCCCACGTTCTCTCCTGCTACGATTGTCTCGAGATGCCTTTTCCAACACTCCGAGAAGTAGAACCTTTGCTAAAGCTGGCCGTTGGTGGTGACGCCACGGACACCACCATCTTAAAATTGATCAACAAGGCCCAACAGATTCAACTGAGACAGGGGAGCTCAGTCGAGCTTGTACGTTATTAGTGGCCCAACGAGAGTTAAGGCTGGTCCAGACACCTGCATTCTGAACTCAACCGACTGTGCCCCAACCGCTTACAAGATGCTTATACGCCTAAGGCCCTTTCATGAGGCACCGTTTGCTTATGTTGCATTATGTTAGGAGAGCCTACATCCGCTTACGTCGAGGGTCATCGAAACATTTATGCTACGTATTGAAGGCCGATGCCCATGCAGCACTATCTGCCAGGCAGAAAAACTGCTCCCAGTTTCCTCCTCCGCACCCGAAACGCATGGGTCCAGAAGCTACTCCCTGCAGAAAGGAAAAGAGGTTTCACTCTTCCTGCTTGTTTGACAACCTTACAGCCCGGCAACCAATTCAAGGAGTAGCTTGGCACGCGACATACGAAGCATGAATATTCGGGTGATCCATAACGTAACGTAAGAAAGTGTAAGCAAATGCTCCTGCGTGAGTGGGTCCTTACCGTAGCAACTGATGGCAGTGTTACGCGTTGGAGCATAACGAAATAAAGTGCAACGGGCCTTGCGGTCACCACAAACGTCCGAACCAGCTTCTAGAACCGTCATAGAACTCTGACCGACCACGACGTGGCCAACGAACACTGCCAACGCCTCGACGGCGCCAAACGCGGCCACGCGTGGCCTCTCTCTTTCGGAGGGAGAGAGGGGGGGGGGGATGCGCACCCTTGTTTCCCGGTGGCTGCAGCGGGTGGCCCGAGCGGCGGCACCAGCCCACGGGGAAGATGTCCCGGGAGTCGTAGCGGCACCAGTAATCAAAGGCGCCCCTCCAGCCGTCGAAGGTGACGAAGATCATGTCATCCTTGACCGCCCCGACCGTGGCCGGGCAGATCAGGTGCGGGTTCTTGCGGTCCAGGGCCTCCAGTTTCATGCCCACCCGGAACTCGTTGGTCCTTGGGCTTGCCGGCTCCTGGGGGGGCCACCGGCATTTTATTTGTCTATTTAAAAAATACCGCCAGCTGCCCAATTGGCAACCAATCTGGTGGGTTAGGATTAGGTGAGGCAGGCGGAGCATGCGAGACGACCGAGGCTGAAGCCAGCGGTCTGCAGGTTGGCGGAGGATGCACACTCCAAGACGTTCTGCCCGCAGAAAGCCCCCCTTTATTCAAACTACATCACTTTTATAGGCAAGCCAAGAGGGCATTCACATACAGTTGTTACTGTGAAAAGTTATTAACTGTTGCACCCTCTACAGCTAAGGCAAGGGTGAACACTGCTTTGTAGACTGTACGAGTGAACTAGACAAAAAAATAAACCGTAAGTACTATCTACAACTGTGCACTGCACAAATGATATCCAATTCAACAGACACACTAATAGAAATGGTTAAAGGGCAACTCCGGCCAAAACTCAAAATGAAATAAATTACTGGTATCGCTGTAGTGACACAAAATACGACCCCCACCAAAATATTACAACCGTAGGACGCTGCATTCTCAACTAATGCCGATAACAAAAATGCGACCTGCCGCAAGCCGCTGCTCCTCAGCGGGCGGCCAGCAGGTTGTTGATCGCTAAAGCAAGATTGGGCCTTGACGTCCGTATCGTTCTCTTTTTTCCTCCGGTCTCGGTGTTGCGCGGAGTGCGCTTCTTTGAGCCGCTACCACCGCTACTTCAGCTTGTGATTGGCGTGTTTAGACGTTGCTTTTATCTGTAGCCCGTTTAGCTTCAATATAGACTTTTGTTTATTTGCTTGTGAGGACTTTAAGACTCGTTTTAGCGAGAAACTCGGTGCGCCCAAGACTGCCCAGCTGTTCCTCGAAAGATGCCGAGTGCAACTTGTAGCGCTGTGGGCTGCTCAAACAACCCGCTGTGCAACACGGAGGTGCTTTTTCACAAGTGTCCGACGGACCGGAAATTGGAGAAGGTGTGGGTAAACGCTGTTCGACGAGTGGACTTTGGACTTCAGCTTTTACGCGCCCGAGGAAAAAACAATGAAAAAACAGTCGTGTACAGCCCAGCACAAGTGTGTTCGGACGCCGCGGCCCGCGCCGGAGAGCCTCAAATCTTCGTGTCTGGGACTGGCCCGCAGCGCGAAAGCGAGAGGGCCCCCAGTACTGTACGTCACTGGCAGCGCGGCGCAAAGCAACGCCGCTCCATCCACGGAGCCCAAATGACAATTTAGGTCAAGCGACGAGTACGGAAGATCACACACACGGCGACAGCCGCCGAGTACGGCACCAAACGAGTTCACTTGTTTTTTAGTCACTAGCTTTTGGGTATAAGCGACGAGTACGGCATAGCACACGCACGGCGGTGGCCGCGGCGTACGGCACCGTACGAGTTCACGGGTTTTCCAGCCGCTAGCTTTTGGGTATACGCACTACCTCTTGCTACATATGCTCGATAACAACCACGCATACAGAATTTAAACAAAATCAGCTTACCTCCTATCTTTAGACGGCTAGCGCAACAGAGGTAGATGGCGCTCGACCTGCATACTCGTTGAACGAGAACGATCCTGACGTCACGTTCCCATAGCGGCTGATTTCCAGTGTCGCCGGGGCCTCGAGCGGCTAGTTTCGGTTTTGTTGGCCGCGCCCCAAACAAAGCATTCGGGCGTCGATATCTTTAAAACTACGCACAATAACGAGAAAAAAATTACACCTTGCAATTCAGGGATGCTGACTGCACTAAAAACAGTCATAATCCCAAAATCGCAAGTATGGACCGGAGTTGCCCTTTAAATGCAAAGGGAACACAACAAACAAAAGACTATGTGAAATATGGTTGGTTTTAAAGCTCTGGTTTTGATTGCACGCATGCTGCTCACTACACTGTCTCGCTCTTCATCGTGCAGCATAAATCCACCATCCCAAGGTGCGAGCCTATCAAAGGGTGACAAAGAAAAAAAAAAGTATGTGCTGAAGTATGAGACAAGGACATTATCTGCCTTATTCAATAGGAATACTCTTATCTCTGCCTTATAAGAGCCATAAAAACCACTCTTGTGCCGTTTCAAACCCGTCAACCACAGGATGGTGGGTTCAACCGTGTAGTTCACGGGCCCAACACTCGGGGTTCACGACTTCAATTCTAGAGTTGATGAGTTTAATGCTAGGAGTGATAGGTTCAACCGAGTTGATGGAATAAAACACACAAAATGGGAAGGGGGATGAAGGGCCCACGCAACTGTTAGGGTGCCCCAAAGAAAGAAGGGAAGGAGGCAGTACCTGCTTGAAGTAGGAGTCGAGGGCAATGTCCGCCTTGTTGAGGGTCTTGAGCAGGAACATGGGCCAGGAAGAGGCGTTCATGCGGAAGCCCAGCGGGGGCTGCAACATGCCCCCTGAGCGCTCGCAGTGGCCGATGGGGCGCACCTCCCCGGAGTCCACCAGGCGCCAGAAGTCGTTCTTGTTGTCGCCCCCGTCCAGGCGCAGGCGCAGTCGGGGGCCCTGCACCCCGACCACCGTCGCGATGCAGGTCGATGTCACGTTGCGGGGATCGAGGGCCTCCAGCTTCATGCCCGCACGGAACTCGTTTGTCGGGGGCTCCGTGTTCTGAAACCGTCGAGCAGACCTTATTATCACTGCAAGAACGCTTGCATCTCAATGAGGAGACATCTGAGTTTGAATATACCAGAAAGAACTCTCAAGTATCAGCTCTGAATAGATTTGAGTCCAGATACTGAAACACTGTAAACTGAATACCAAAACATTAAGTATGAATACTGGCAGTGAGCCTCAACACTGAAAACACTTGAGCCTCTAAACTGAAAACAAATGTGCTTGAATAGTGAGAATGCCTGAGCCTGAGCACAGAAAACATACAAGTCTGAATACTGAAAACAGTCCAAATGCTGAAACAATGAAACCCAAAAGTTGAAACTATAGGGTATCTAGTTTATCCTCTCTAGATGCTCCATGTTCTGTGATCCAGAGAGCAGGACAAATCTGTCAAATCACTTTGACATTAGAAAAATTGAGAAAATACCAATGATAAATAGCAAATTATATTAAAATATTGAAAGCTCACTGTATAGCTATCATGAACTAGCTAGAAGCCTTCAATTGAATCAAGATGAAGTCAATATTAGATTCGACAGGAATATGGTAGATAAAATATTGGAACTTAAATTGACCATGTATTAGATTTTTTTGTCAGTAAGCAGTGATGGTATCAGCATTTGAACTTTTGTAGCAGGTCCTGTAGCAGGCAAAATATTGGTTTGGAACAGCCAGTGAAGCTTTTCGAGCAGATGCCAACTTCTGTTGGCGTATCACCTGAAAATAAAAAAAAGTGATGCATCGCTAAATGAGTTCATCCTTGATAATGATTGAGGGTTTCTCCTTGATAGTGCATCATATTACTTATTACCTTTTGCAATAAGAATAGAGTGCAAAAGGAATGTAGAACCTTCTTTTTAGAAATAAGGCTCTAATCAGAGCAGGTCCCACTTTCCGTATAAACTCGTGTAAGGGCCGCACTACGTCTGTCCGATTTGAGGGCAAATTTTCGAGGTGCGGCCCGCCCATACACGGATTAAAAGAAAATTAAAAGAAAATATTTGTATCCACATTCCTAAATGAAAGTACATGAGCGCGCTCGGCTGCACTGGTCGGAAAAGCCTTCATTCCGGAATCCGGACTCAATTGTCAGTCGGATTTAATTAGCTTACATACTGCGCAGTACGCTTTTTTTTTTTTGCCGTACTTGGATAGCATGCGCGGCAACTTTCGGCTTGAATCCCGTATGACTGTTGAATTGGTACTTGCTCATAGCTCTCAAATTGCGCAAAAAGGCAGACAAATCATGACGCTTTGACACGAATCAATGAACAAAAGGAAACCTCCCCAGAGCGTACAGTGGCGTTTGGAAACCTGAGTGTATGCGCGAGCCGAGCCCGCTGAATCGCCATTCCTCGCGCTTGCCACGGAACCTGACATATCCTTTATCTTTTCTCAATGCCTTGCCTCAACATAAATGCACCCCAACAGTGCGGCCAACCACGATCCAGGTCGACAGCCTGGATCGTGGAGAGCAAATATCAAGGATGCAAACACATGCCGCTACGTGCTCGGGCGGTGGCTAGCGCCACCTAGCGATATATATTCATAGAAACATGGCATTACAGTCGGCGCGCCTCAAGAACAAGGTGGTGAGGCGCATACGCAAATAATTCCTGCAATTTTCTTTTTTTTTTGCAATACTTTGTTTTAAATACGGGGGTGCAGCTCTTAGACGGGTGCGGCCCTTACAAGCGATTATACGGTACAATGGGTACCAACAAAATGGTTGAAAAATGAATCGTAGTACAACTCTTCAGTTGGAATACAGACTACCCCTATAACTTTTACACCCGGCAATTTATTTAGCCTGGAAATATATTTTCTCTAAATTGCCAGCAAAAACCAGCATATGCGCTAACGAATCTACCAAATAAAAAATGCATCCCTCAATTTTTCTTAACCTTCTAATTTCAAAATGCTGATGTCATAAACTGCAAAAACCATCACCCACAAATATTATGAAAACTTACACTAGTGATTTAAAAGTGACACTGCTCTTTAATGGCATTAGAACTAGAGTAAAGTCAAAGTTCGCTGCTGTTTCATTTGACAGCTGCGTGGAAACAACCTTGACTACAGTATTTTATAAAGAATAAACCCATTTTTTTTTTTTCTCTTTCTCTGCACAGTTTTTTAAATTAGAGATAAACTTACAATCAAGACCAAAGAAGGTAGATCTGTTATAGTACTAAGCCTAATTTCCGAGCCTATATCGCGCTTGCCCAGGCGCTCATTCATGTCAGCCGCTGCTCCTAGCACTCCAGTGTAAAGCAGTGAAGCTCAACGCATACTCGCTGATGAGAGGCGGCACAGAGGAATGCAGCAGATATGGTAATCAATCTCATCAGGAGTACAGGACCCTGGTTTTATCTTATCACAGTAGCCCATCCAACTATTTTGCAATGTTTTCTCATGACTCTCAGCTCCTGACATAGCTGACATCGCCTGGAAGTTTAGACAATGTCGGTGAGCAACCGACAAGCGCGGCTGACGAGCAATTGCTATGCTTCATTTCACCTTAATTTAAAGTGCAGCCGATGATATGAGTCAATGGAACCAACCAAGCAATGTCAAAGTGCAACATCATGGCATTTGTCTATCTTCTTGTACATGTTCTTTCATCGGCCACACCAATCAAGTGCAGCGAATGTCCCATGACTTGCACTTTTAGTACTGTCCAGACCGGTTATAACAAAGTCAACGGGAGTCGGAAATCACTTTGCTATATCCACTATTTCGTTATAACTGACTTCGGTTAACGAAGTGCAAAAGGGAGTGGGAAATTGTGATCGCTTTGCTCTAGCCGCCATTTCGTTATAACCGACTTCGTTATAACCGGTCTTGACAGTATGTGTGTTTGTGGTTGTATCTGTTGAAGGCTTTGGCTGTACTCCGACTTAAAAAGAAACTGAAGTGGTTCTGTATTTGTATAAAAACATTTAAATTGTCTTCATTCGGCCTCCAGGATCACGAATATCGAGAAAGTTTTTCAATTTGGGGCACAGAGGCTGCAGTAAATCATTTTCAAAGAATCATTGAAGCCTTTTCTTCCCGGAGCGTTACGTCATAAAAGGAGTTTTCGAAATCTCAGCTCTCACGCATCTTCAGCGCCTATGAAAGCTATGCACACACACTCTTGCTATTTTCAGAAATGGTCACTAAAAGACGTCACGACTGGTGTCAGTGCGGAAGAATGCACTTGGCAAGCTTGCAATTGCACGTGCAGTCCACACAAGCGACATATGCTTGGCGGACGGAAGATCCCTTGATGACGTAACGACTGGTCGGAGGTTTTTTGTGTTTTCTCGCGTCAAGTTACATTTTCAGAGAAAACGAACGTGATATTCAGATTCACGGGATAAAAATGCTCTAGAATTACCTCCAACTCGTTTTTAGGGGCGAAGCTCCTTAGGGTCTAGCCTTGTCCGTCTGGCATCCGTGCTCACATCAATCTTGCTGGTGCTCGTGCTCGTGAGCTCACGTTCTCACGCGCTCGTGTAAAGGAAACAAATTTTTAAAAAAATGGGAAAAAAAAAAAATGTTTGCGCAGTTGACAGGGTTCGAACCTGTGCGGGGAGACCCCAATGGATTTCTAGTCCATCGCCTTAACCACTCGGCCACGACTGCGGGACGAGTAGGGGGCTCTGAGATGTGGTAGTAACTCAAGAGCTGGGGTTTCTGTCATGGATGAAATGTTGCATGTAGCCGCTCAACGTCTATACAGGAGAGGGCGCTGCGGTCAAATGCGTATATAATCGCGTTAAACTTTGCATGCATTGGCTCAACGTTTATAGACGAGAGGGCGCTGCGGTCAAATGCTCAAATGCGTATATAACCACGTTCCATACCACACATTCTCTTTCTGACATGGACCGTTGACTTAAGCGGTGGAGATGCGTTCCCGCGGCTTCTAGCGGATCCAAGCTGATCCACTAGAAGAACCACTGGCTCTGCATTTCACTGACCATAAAGCAGTAATAATGAAGTCGAAACGCAACCCGAACTCAGTGCTACCTATGAGCAATAAAAAAAAAATCAGCACCATCAGCACTACCTATGAACAATAAAATCAGTGCCATCAGAACCACCAGAGCTTCGCCCCAATCAACATCATTCACCACGTGGAGATGCAGTCATTTTTTGCTTTGCTTTGCGCCACATTAAACCCTCTGGCTGCTGATGTGGTGCAATTCTTAGCAAAAACGGTACTTTAGCGCAAGATGTAGCAGACTTTCAATCGTGGTGCAATTTATAACAAATGGCACATCACTTCTGTTACTGCAGTAAACAAATTTGTGGCGAGAGACTTTGAAAGCACAAGCATGTTTTACTTTAAGGGTCTTATGCTCCTATCCCACACAGTGTGGCATATGATCATTGCTATCTTTGAAAGGGGACTATAGCCAATGACGAAAATCAAATATTGTCTAAACACAGTATGCACTTGCATCCTGAACATGCAAACATCATGCTCAGTCACCCAGGAGAAGTTACTGCTTTGAGCTCAAATGGGATTTAGGATTTATCCTTCATTGGTCTCCTCTCATAAATGATGATTCACTAAAAAAATATGCAGTGTAACAAAAATGCACGAGCTTTGTTCACAAAGAAGGTTGCCTTGTTTCCAAGTAAATGCAGTACCCTCAGCCAGACCGTTCATTAACTACTTTGTGAAAGATTACACAAAAAAGACATTTAGAGCTGGCAAGCTTAAGAAAATGCCAGAAGATGGCACAGAAAGAAATATACACAGCTTGTGTCAAAATAGTTTCCCAGATCTCGTGAGATAAACCAAGTGCGCACCTGCTTGAAGCAGCTGGATGGAGCTGGTTGAGAGTGTGTCTCCTTGAGATACTCATCCCAGTCAAAGTAGCCTGGAAACAAACATCACCGTCAACAGTACTGTTCAGTTTGGGAGAAAAAGCTCCCCATAATGACAGCGCTTGCAAACAGTGCGGTGAAGCACCCCTTCTTAGCTCTGCCAAAACCAAAGGTTTTTCCATTCTTTGTGGCTGCAGCTCTTTTACAGGTATCAATCACCCTTGCTGAAAGAACAGGTAGATTACTGTATTTTTTAGTGTATAAGTGGCACTTCCCTCCCAAAAAAATCTGCTGGTGTGTCTTATACAACAATGCAACTCATAGAAATTTCTTTTTTTTTTTTTTTAAGTCCAGACCTTAAATCTGCAAGATGTAGGCGGCATTAACATTTACGACAAAGGAGGGAAGGCACAGAAGTCTTTTCATCTCGTCGTCGCATAGTAACAGGTCCACATCCGTCGGACGTCGCTTCGGGTACCGCGGATCGGCTTTGCCTCATAATCCGAACCCGACGATATAGCGACGTTCCGGGGAAGCAACAGCCGACGCACAAATACCAATTTTCCATGGAGTTACGTGCCTCAAGCATTTGCTCCTCAAAGTTGAAACACGTCGCTACTCCTCCGCCTAGTTGGAACGTATTGCCAATTCCGTTCAGTCTCTCGAAGCGGCCAAATACGACAAACGCGACAAAGTCCAAATAATTGCGACGGGCTTCGGACTTTACGCAAACTTTACGGGTCGCACGGCTCTGGCCCATCGCCCATTCGGTCTTGCCTCCACACGAAGATGCACCGAACGTGTCATTGCCTGGTGCATTTAGCGCCCTACGTCGCCCACGCGTCGGAAGTGGCAACAAATTACGTCGCGGGGGCCGGCATGTCGTGCCGTCGGACACTGCAATTCTGGCGATGGTAACCGAACAATCTAACGAAACACCACCTCGATTGAGCATAGTAATCCACTAGACTCAGTTACACCTTACAATAGACAGTGGCGGGCGGTACAGATCATTGGAGTCAACCCTGTGCTGCGTCAGTATAAAGCAATTGTTGGGACAGGGGCGGCGACCGGCAGCGATGCACGCGTCACATGGGTAGTAACGCGATACTTTTGTGTTGCCAATTGGCTGGGATAGCTAGTAATGTCTGTTTGGGTCCATCGTAAGGTAAGACTGCGTATAACAGACTGCACCCACCCGAGCTCTCGTACTGGTACTGGATGGTGTTCTGGGGCTTCAGCTTGGGCCGGTCTGAGGCCGAAGCCATGCTGGCAGGGTCTCCCCGCTGGCGGAACTTGTCTAGGCACTCTGTGCTGCAGAACTCCCGCAGTAGCCCATGGTCGTCTAGGTGCACGGAGGCCCCTCGGATCACAATCTCACAGAGGGCGCAGGCCACCTGGCAGGAGGGGGGAGCACACGCGGGAGGTGGTTGGCTACCACCTCCAACGGGCAGCTCGGAGCAAGAAATCGAGGCACTTCGGCTACAAACGATTACAACAAACCAACGTGCACTTTGCACCGCCCAGTCTGCAACTACTCCCTCCACACCTAGGAGGTGTCGCTTCAGCCGCCCCAGAGAATTCAATGCCTCCTCTTTCAAGTGCTCTTTTAGTCCCTTTATTTCCTCCCACCTCCACAACTGGAAGGAGCAGAAAAGGAAGCTGACCTTTTGGATTTCAAAGCCACAACTGGTTCGTCAGCGTTCAAAGTATTGCAAAACGGGACCCCCCAAAAAAAGAAAAGAAATTAGAACACAAGGGCGAGAGCTAGAATTGCAATCTTCAAGTTGAAATTGAAAAAAAAAAAAAAAAGCAGACAAGGTACCTATTTATTTCATTCCTTCCTTCAAAAAGAGCAGAAAAAAAATCTGTCTCTATGGCGTGGCGATCTGAAAGTAAGCACTGAAAGCTTAGAAATGCCATTAAGGGGGGACACTGGCTAGAGGTTGAACTTCTGAACTACTCAAGTGATCGGAATGAAATTTGTAGGGGAGACCTAACTTCAGATGTAGGCATACTGTGCAAACTTTCAGATCTCTAGGACAACTTTACATACCTGCATAAGATGTGTCACTCTTTGTTAAGAAATCTATGATATGCAATTGAAGCTATTAAGCATCATTTTAACTGCTTGAATATAAAGTGGGGGATGTGGGACTTTGGGCTATCTAGTTTTTACAACTCAAATGTAAATATTTCAGGAAGAGTGATTACCTCAAAATATCAGATGCATATCTGACCTATGTCAGTTTTTGAAAACATAGCTTTCTCTCAATGAGGACTTTAACTTAAAACAAAATAAAGTAGATAGCCCGATTCCCCAGTAAATTTCAGTTCAGAAACATCTTGATTGTGGTATCAGAAAAATTTTACTTTCGAACAAAAGATTCCTTTGTATGAAATTTGCAGCAAAAATTGCAAATGAGAAAAATGCATTCAAACATTCTTCATTACTTTGTTACTGCCTCACACTGTACTGAAAATATTTTATATCAACGTAACTATCTGGCGCATGGTTATGAAATTTAGTGTAAGGGTGTTTAATTAGTTTCCAAAACCAAAAACCTAAAAATTGAAAAATTATTTTTTTCAAAGCATTTTGAAACTTAAGCTTATGTCTCCCCTTAAGAAGTCTCGTCTGCACGCCCATAGTTCAGGCCTTTAGACAAGGGGCGGGATTCATTCTCCCTTCCCACTTAACACTATAATGGAAGCAAGCAAGGTCGCTTTGCCCTATTACAACAACACGTAAGAAAAAGAGTTATCTATCTGCCCATGTACCCAGGCAGACAAAGATCAGTTCAGGAAAAGTGCTTCTTGAATTGGGCAGTATACAGCTACTTTGAATGCCAATTACTTCGACAGAACGGTACACACAATTATACACCCCAAAAAAATGATAGAAAGTCTTGAGAATGCAGGCGAGCTGGTAGAATCCCGACGATGCTTAGTTTTTGACACTAACATCGATGTTCGTCATGGTAACACATCTGAGTCTAGGCAATAAGGATGCTACACAAGGTTTAAGTATCAAAACAGAGTGGATTACACATTCATTTTATCACAACACTTTGCATGTTACCTCTTGTTTGTCACAGAAACACACAAGAGGTAACATTGTTCCTGTCCAAGTAAAAGATTAAACTATTAATGGGTGCAATGCGGAAATTTCTGGACACCAAGAGCTGCAAGCCAATGAAATTAGTGGTGACAAGCTTCTTGCAAACTGCAAAATGCTAGCCTTTTGCAACTCATCACTTATGTCAGACATTAATACCATAACATTTTTCTTAATCTCAATCCTTTCGTGTTACCTTTACAATATTTGCTACCAACATAAAAAAAGGTCATTGCATAAATGAAGTCCGGTTGAAAGAGACAGCAAGCCTTAAAACTTAAAAGCTACCATTCTACGCTTGCACACACACACACCAACACAAAGGCATTCCACACACACAACAGAGATGAAAGACAAGGTCACACATGTAGGCAGGCGCACAGAGCAGTTCCGTGCAAGAGTAGAAAGCATGAAGGACTGAGAAAACGCATAATGGATGAGAGCGACCCTGCTCACCTCACCAGGACCTTCGAAAGACGAACAAGGAACTAATGTATCTGAAACACTCCACAAACGGGAGACTATCCAAGATGCCTAGGAAGTATGTCGCCGACCTCAGAGGCATGCATGAAATAGACGATGAGAGGGATGTCTAAAAATGGCTCTGCTAGTGCCAGATCATCCTCCAGCGATTATGAAGTAAAAAATGTCATAGAAAAAAATCTTTGCGAGCCAGCAAGGGAGGCTATTGCGCGCAGGTGTGGGCATCTTGAACCGACAGCTGTGGAGAAACTTCACACAGCTGCTGGGTCTTTGTTTACGCAGAACTCCCTGGCAGCATATCAGATGCTTGTGAAAGCCACAAAGGCCGTTTTTCCGATAGCCTTAAAGGGGAAACTCCGCCAATTTTTTATGATTTCCAATTTGGCTGAAATTCGGCAAAGCAAATGAAATCTTTTCGTAAACTGCTAGCCAAAATGTTTTATTGAAATGAACGTCTTTTCGTTGATTCATCAAGTTTTAATATTATGGCATTCACATAAATTTTATCGGCGACTTCCTACTGTCAACACTGGAAAATGCCTGCTTTCCCCATTAGTATCTGTTGACATATCGAAAGGGCTAACAGAGAAGCCCCAGAGATCCTTCTTGCACAACTTGGTTGTCGAAAGTCCCTGTATAACGGGTAGCAACTTACGCCATGCAGTTCACCGAATAAAGAATGCCAAAAAGAACTGTGGTGTTCTAAAGAAACAGTTTCACAACGACAACCGAAGCGAGCCGTGCGCCGAGAGATCCGGTGTGCAAGAAAAAACTTCCGCAGCTCAAACGGTTTCAAGAGCGGCAATCGCAAAGTTAAGCCAGGTGCTGCGCCTGGCAATGACCCCCCTTCAAAGTAGTTCGAGGAGGAGCGGTATTGAAATCTATCTCCAAGAGCTGGCCGATACTTGGTGCAGTCACATCTGTCGCATGTGACGGGATTAATGAATGTATTCCTTATAATTTTGAAGAATATTTCACCAGGATGGTCTGACCAACCAGCTATGAAGTGGGGAGAAGGGGGCTGTCACAGTTGACTTGGACCACTCGGCATTCTAATCGCGCAGCAATGCCAGTGGGTTGAAGGCGGAAAGCGAGTCGTCTGAAGAAGAGTCTAGCTTCCTTTTGTAGATGCCATTTGAAACACTACTATTCATATCTGAAATTGGAGAGTTTAGGGAACGACTTACAAAACTCCGACATGATTGAGACTTGTGAAATGGTTTAGGTCCAATTTCACTTCCAGAGGAACGTTAATCCTTCCATGCCCGAGTATACTGTGGCGTTCCCCTGTGGTTTCAGTTTCGGTTTTCTCTCTGTTGCTCCCAACTGGGCAGTCTTTTCTTTTTATAGGTGTAGTGACATGTATGAACAGGCGATGAAAACTATGTTTTATCTTACGACATCACTTTTTCAAGGCATGTGACTTTTTTTTTTTTGTTTAGGCAACTTTTATTTCTATATACTCCTTCGTTGTCACAGAATGACAAATCTGTGTCGTTCAACCTCGCACTTCATGGCAGACCTTGAGATCTAGAATAACTAATGAACTAGACCAGTGGTTCTACAGCGTCGTTATTTCGCGGACCCCTTGTGGATCGGTGGTGATGACGGAGAACCCCGTTCGTGGTAAGGGGAAGAAAAAGGTATAGGCTAAATATGATAATGGTTCAATAAATGAATATAACTATTGTAAAATCCCGTAAGGATGCCCTCTCTCGAGAGATCGGCCATCCCATTTTTCTGGCTGAATATATGTAACATGAAAATTCCGAAACATCGCCCACCCCTTGATTCCCGTTGGACGTCAAACGACATCCGACGGGAATCGCGCATCAACGGCGCGATCTGCGGTACCGGTACGTCTGACAAATGAATCTATAGCGGATTCCCGTATTTTTGTCCGCAATCTGCGTACGCAATATTGATTCCTAGCGTTAGCACGCGCGAATTGTTCCCGCGTGTATATTGCACCGTGAAAGGGGATTCTGCTGTGTCCGCAATCTGCGGTATTTGTTTCCGCGACACGCAAGTTCTTAGCATATTCCCGCGATCTGCGTGCGCGATATCGGTTTCCGTGACAGGCAAGATTGTAGCAGGTTCCCGCATGTTTATTGCACCACGAAACTTGAATCTGCTGCGTCTGTGATCTGCGGTGTCCGTTCCCGTGAGATGCGAGTTCTCGGCGGGGTTTTGAGGGTCCTTCGCACCGTGAAACGTTGATCTGCTAAGTCGGCCACTTGTGGTATTCTTTCCCATGACACGGGAGTTTGTAGCGAATTCCCGCGTGTTTATCGCATCGTGAAATGTGAATTTGCCATGTCCGCGATCTGCGGTATCAGTTCCTGCATTATGTGGTTTGTAGCGGATGCCCCGGAGCTTATCATTAATTTGTGATCAAGTTTTGCTCTGATATCCCCAAAAAAAGCCCACCCCATGTTTTTCACCATCCCTCTCTTCATTTTGGGTGGGCATTCTTACGGGATTTCGCGGTAAGGGCTAGTGTGAAGTAGACTTCTCTTTTTGAAACATACATGAGAAAACGCACCGAAAAATTGGAACGTTTCTTCTCAATCTGAGAAAAGACAACTCTTCTTGACGGGTTTAACGGATGAGGCTGGGCTTTGCGGACCCCTAGAATGCTTCGCGGACCCCAAAGGGTCTGCGGACCTCCCTTTGAGAACCACTGAACTAGACTAATGAACTTGGTATTCGACGACCGTAAAAACAAAGAGGTTACCGTTCCAAATAAACGAAGGCCAAGTATGGTCGTCTGAAACGATGACTTCAAGGTGTGAT